ATATACTGTACTGGTGTCCTGTCTGGGGTGTGGTCCCGCCTTGTGCCCAGTGATATACTGTACTGGTGTCCTGTCTGGGGTGTGGTCCTGCCTTGTGCCCAGTGATCTATACTGTACTGGTGTCCTGTCTAGGGTGTGGTCCTGCCTTGTGCCCAGTGATATACTGTACTGGTGTCCTGTCTAGGGTGTGGTCCTGCCTTGTGCCCAGTGATATACTGTACTGGTGTCCTGTCTGGGGTCCTGAGAATCTTCAGGAATTACTTCCTGTTGGACTGAGGGGTTATTGGAAACAGGCAGAACGTAACAAACTAAACTAACCATTTAATATAAGAATAAAAGCATAAATGTAATTTGTGGTATATATGGTTCACCATCTGGTCTTAGCTACTGTACAGTTTTTAACCCAACTTAAAATTTCTCGATAGTGTTTCATACATCCCAACGCAATATTTTTTTATGAAATCCTCATAAAGTCAGTATGTTTTGTACTAAATCTTCACCGACTCCCCCAGTTTGAAAAAAAGTCTCACCGATCATTAAGAGGACCAGCATTAAATATTTGTTGGGTACGGGCATTAAACAAACAACATGCATTTGTTACATGCTACAGCGTGAAGGAGCCTGCTCCTTTCTAGTCGACAAATGAGGTAAAACGACCATTCGCACTTGAGAATTAAAGAGGGTTAACTGGTGTCTCTAACTTAAAACAAAAGTTACTGGTTATAAACATAAATGATAAAAACGCGAGCTGGGAATACAAACACATTATGTCAGCACTCCCCCGACGAACCGTTCGCATTAAACCACCGTGCTCAATGGAGTCTGCTCAATAAAGCATGCGAAACAAAATTTATTTTCAATGGAGATTTTGCTAGGTGGATCAACTGCGGTTTATTATTGCAAGACAAAAAAGAAACACAACAAACGTTTAACAAGGATCGCCGTGCAGCTACACTGCAGGAAAGTTCTAGAATTGAATTTCGGCGCACTCACCTGCAAGCGATGTAAAGATGGATCAAACGCTGAGTACTGGGTGATTTCGAATGAATGATTAAACCCCAAGCAGTTTTATTTCAAATAAGTAGTGCTTAACAGCTCTAATTTTCTACACTGACCATTGAATCTTCATGAGCTCAGCCCGCTGTGCTTCCACAGCTACAGCCCTAGACGGTGAAGCAGCAGCTCCACGGAGCGCGATCTCTTCACAGGAATTTCCGTGCGAGGACCTGACTCTTTACTGACTACATAACGACGAGGGTTTATTCTAGTGTCGAATACAGCGAAATGTAGACAGTGCACTGTATTTTAGAAATGTCCGTGGATCGTAAACGGAAAATCACAATTTCGCAGTTGTATTTCAGATAAGAGGAAAAACAACATTTCGTTACAGTATCACCTCACTTGCAATAGCTGCTAATCCAGTTCAGGGTCACGATGGCCCTGGCGCATGACCGGCTACGCCCTGGACGGGACACCAGTCCATTGTAGCGCAGACACAGACGCGCTCACTCCAGGACCAGTTTTCCCAGAAACCAGTTAGTTAACCTACCCGACTGCCAGGGACTGTGGGAGAAAACCCACACAAAGGAAAAGCATAGAAACGCAAGAATTGAACCCAAGACATTATCTGCATGACAGTCAAGGTAACCACTGCCTATTTACTATAGTATTTTTAAAATAAATGCCCTTTTCCATGTTTTTAAACATCATTAAGATTGATGACATTTTAATTCACCCTTTGCCCAGGTCAGCTTTAACAACCATGGCACAAACGTACATGTATGTGGTCTCTAGTCATGACTTAAAAAAACCCTCCCATTTAAGGGTACAAAACTGAAACAGGGGTCTGGGGAGGGGTTACAATAAAGCAGCACCTTTCTCAACAAGGTGTCAGCCTTCACTTACCTGTGATTAACTCCATGGATTCCAAAGGGAGGAGATTAAGGAGCCCAGACACGGTGTAACTCAATGAATTTATTGGTTTTGCACTGCAGTTGCTCACAGTTATATTACAAGGGGATACATTGTAGTTTGTTCCTGTTTAATAACAATGAATTGTATTGTTTTATCCTGTGTATTTTTTTTCAAAGTACAAAATAGGAAGGAAAACATCAGGTATTGCTTTATTTCTTTTTTGATTTAAATCCCCTTCCTGCTTGTTCCACCTGGGTTTATATTATTTTTAAATATATTTATATATTTGTTCTTTTTTTGAATCCAAGCCTTTCTGTAAGAGGTACCGTGTAAAGGAAGCATTGTAAAATTTGTGCACAAGAAGAAGAGAGAAAAAAGAAGGGAAGGAAACAAAAGAAACAGTGATAGAGGAAAACAGGAGAGAGGAAGGAAGGAGAAAACGAAAGAGGAGGAGAGAAGGGTTCAGGGCAGGGAGACAGTCGAATGGAACAATTACAGCAAGATCATGCAAAAAAAGCCAATGTTTTGACATGCACACAGTAATACAAGATAAAAGTCCAAGAACAGGAATCCCCTTTTTTGTTTCAAGAAGTTCATTGCCCGAAATCATCTATTTACAAGAAACAGCAGTTCGAGAGTATCGTTTTTTTTCTTCTTAACCTGTAGTACACGCACAATGATATGAAACTGACAAATATCAATAGAAGATAATCATTTCCTCACAAAGAGGCTAGTCTACATTCTTAAATTACTGGTAAATTATTATTATTTTTTAACATATACTACAAGTTTGTTTTGTTCTTGAAGCTGGGAAAAAATAATGTCCATTGTTTGTTCATGTACCTCTATTCAGTGAGGAAAAACTTAAAAGAATAATGTTTTTTCTGTCTTTAAATAAACCTGTGTTGCCCCAACACAAACATAAATAACGTACAATCTCTGCTAACGGATTTATTTAATATAAATAGCCAAGACGGTAATAAATTAAGACTTAATAAACAAACAATGAAACAGAGCCCCCCCCCAAAAAGATACAAAAATAAAATTTCCACCATGAAAACTTCCCTTCCAGTCTTTCCAGATGTCACAGACGAGTTTTAACTGCTCAAACTGCAATGAGACTCTCTTGATGTAGGGGAAAAAAAACTCCCGAAAGTATATTGTGTAACGTTCTAAAATGGTGAAAATAAATAGACGAATAAATAAATTAACGAAACATCTGGCAACACTATGTTCAGACCTGGCCCTACAACTAAACAGCGTCACTACCGGACAATTTTTACATAAGAAACATATTCTGTACAACAGAGTAGATCATTCATTGCGTACACAAACCCCTCCCGACTCTTTGCACTATTTTAAATAAGGTCTCCAGTCCTGCAGCGATGGCATTCCGGTCCACAGGCGTGTTCAATCCCAGTCACTCACAAAAAAAGAGTCTGAAGTTGAAAAAGGGAAACGGTACAGCGAAGGCCCACACAAGCGTGTTAAAACCCACCGTCTTCCATTTCTTTCTGGCTTTTCTTGCTTCTTTTAAGTCACAGAGTTTTGTTTTCGTACGTGTGTGCAGCGGACATAAGTTGTCTCTTTTTTAAGGCTTTTCCAGCTCCTCTGGTTTCGTTCCGGCATTCCGAGTGCATGGAAGGAAACTTGGGAAAAAGGTGGCGATGGTGTCCTGTTTTTATATTTTTTTGTTTGAGGGGGATGAGGGGTTGGATTGGACATGGGAAGGGCGGCGGGACAGACTGCAGGAGCGGCTCCATGGTTTTTATTCACTTTACTTGCCTCGAAATGTGCCCTCCGTCAACAAATATCCGCGGCACACGGCGGCAGGGCTGGAGCTGGAATTTAACAAGTTTTCTGGACAATGCCTGGCAGTAGAGTGGAAACAAGTCATTTTACAAGGTGAGCAAAAGAAGAGAAAGAAACAAAAAAGGAATGAAAAAATACTGGTGTAAAAATGCCTTTCTTTGGGGGGGTGGGGTGTGTGTCTGCGTGTGCTACTTTTTAAAATATTTAATTCAGTTATATATACAGTCATTCCGTCATACAAAAGTTGGTCTATAGACACGTATCGAAGTAGTTTTATATGTACATCTACTAGTACAAGCGACTAGCTTTCTAAACACTTTAATTTCAATTTGTTTTATTTTAAGGTTGCTCCTGTGCCCCAACAGATGTTACCATCTTTGACTTGTCTTTGCCTGTTGGGTATTTAGAGTCCCCTCTAGAACCAAAGTCATTAGCATCGGGTTCATGTCTCTTGCTGTTTGCGCCATGCTTGGTGGGGGTACCAGGCGGATGGGCCACTTGCCCGTTCTTCTCGTCTGAAAAAAGTTGTTTAATTACGTCAAAGAAGTTACTCAATGGGCTGCCTAGGTACACAGAACAAAACAAAAACAAAGAAAAGGAGAGAAAGAGAGAGAGAACAAACAAAGAAATGAACAATGGGGTTCACGAAGAGAAGAGGTGAGAGAGAGTGAGAGACCCAGAGCCACACGGTGGACCAGATGACGACAGTGTGTGTGCACAGCTGTGTGTGTGCATGAGGACTGGCAGGTAGTGAGGTTGGGGGGGAGTGAGAGGACACACAGGTAGGTACATGATAAAACACCTCCAGCACGCGGACAAAGGGGCTGTAGCCAGAAGTGTCACCATAAAGAGGAGTTTCCACAATGAGATAGGATTCAGCCTCCAGTCAGATCTGCCTTGTGCATGTGTGGTTCCCCTAACTGACAGAAAACCCCTCAGCTGTTACCTTGCAGTCAAAATGCTCAATCACAACCTTGAATCATGTTAACGCTGTTATGTTTTTTAAATTTTTTTTTAGATTAAACAGCATCCTTCTCTCTCCCCTGTTCCCTCATCCCTTTCTTCCTCACACAAGTGTGTCTTCAAATTACAGTGAACCAGAGTATAGAGTGAAAAACACGGACTATAATACTTTATGATGACACTGCGGCCTTTGTGGAAGTCGAACTGTGGATATGCCCGGAATTTGGGGTGGCTTTGGAATCTCCGTCTTTGTGGGTTGAATGAAATTAGATGGAGAAATGGAAGAGAGCACTGGGAATGCTGGGTAAGGTGAAACCTAAGAGCCTGTCAGCTGCTCAGCGTTGCTTTTCTTTTAAAGCTTCACTACTAATGATTCGCGTTGCGTGCCAGGAAGTGGGCGACTGCAACAAAGGTAGTGCAAGCGGTTGTGGGAAATGCAGTTCTAGCTTCTTTACACACCTGACTGCTGCCACTGAAAGAAGGTGTAAACTGATGGTCGTTGCGTTGCCCTCCTAGAGCTGATCTGTCAATCCGCAGACAAACCACAAGCAGGAAAAAAATACTTTTCTAAACGCCCTTCAGAAAAAGTGACAGTGTTGCAAACGCAAGCGGGTCCTTCATATGCAAGCATGCTTTGGTCAAGGGTTTGTCCGGATTACGTTTCTTTTTCTAAGCTTTACAAGACTGAAGGACCTTTGTTTCAAAACTATATAGTAACTAACATGTCCATATTTAATATACAGTAAAGGGCAGCAGGTCTGTCGCCTTTAGGTATCCAATTTGAACTTGAATGTTAAGTTAAAATTATACACACCACCTCGTTAAAACGAGTGCATAGGATCATATTTAGGAAAAGGGCTTTTGGTGGAGATTAAAGACCATATGCTAAAGGCAAACCAGTTGTCAATTTGCCCTGTACAGAAGCTCTAGGGGATCAAAGGTTCTTTTGAAATCTGATCCAGAACTTCACCTTGCTTTTGTTCCCCGAATTAGACTTGATCTTTCATCAGAATAGGTCAGCGCTGGGGCTCTACAGATAACGGTTATGTGGTTTAGCAACACAGCTGTAGAAGCCTTTGTTCTTGCAGTTCACCTCCAACGTTTTCAAAGATGTAGCTTAACAGCAGTCAAGTGGATAATTAAACAACTTCCTTGTTATCAGAGGTGCCTGAGCAACAGAAAGAAAAAAAAGGCTTGTGCCTGCCAAAGCTGCTGTGGTGCAGAATATGTTGTCATTTGCTGCTTTAGCAGAATGAGAGAAGTTTTCCTAATGGTTCTCAATGTCTGCTCAGTTTACACAAGCCCTTTGGAACCAGGAACACACAGAGATATGTCTGCTTTTTGGGGAAAGACTGAAGAGTGTCACCACATTCCTGATTTAAGCATTTCAGTTGATTTGTTTCAGGCTTTTAAGAAGGTTTGAGAGGGAGGCCATTATAGTATCATTACAACACAGTCAGTGCTCAGACCAATATCTTTCAGAATTACCTCTCAAGTCAAAACTGTTATTACTAACCTCTAGCACAGACCTGAAGGGTGGGAAATCTTGACAGACCACCCTGCATTCCCCCAGATTGAAGGCTAGAAATTAATACTTGATATTTCCTGCCTAGGGCCTACTGGTAACTGTAATTCTGTCCCTAAACTGGTAAGTGGCTCACACAGAGGTGGAATAGATTTAGACAGTGTGGAAATAAGCCACATTTCTCCTCCGTATGGTCAATCTTTCCACAGCACTGGCTCACTTTATAACTAATAGTTTCATCCAGTTTCCCCCAGTGTCCTTCATCAATTCATTCCAGATAAACACGGCATGACGGCCCTCTCGCCACACCACACCGGCGATGAGGACAAAGTGGTTTCTGAGGAACAGGCGCAGGCAGCCAGCTATAGTAGTTTATACACAGGAGTTTATACGTGCGGCTGTGCGAAGATGTCCATTTCCTTTCAATCTGCATAGGTTAAAAGCTCCTAGATGTGAAATGACTACAATCAAGGAACAGCCATTCATTACTGTGGCAAATTGAACAAGCGCGATGCCTCACACAGTGAAAATAAAGTGGTCTATGAAATGGCCTTTGAATAAAAAAAGACCAGGAGAATTCCTGCGCTTTCCATTAGTGGAAACTGTAGGTGTCTTTGAAAACTGACTCTTGTAAACGAAAGATGGAGTGAAAGCAAAGGAACCGTGTTCTGTAATAACTTTTTTACTTAATATCTGTAATAATAAGGAGGCTGATGAGATATTCAACAGAAATGTAGCATTTACACAACATGAACAAAACCTTTGCAGCTAGTGTAAGACAAGTACAGGACGACTTCATGAAAAGGTTAACATTCTTGATAGAACACTTTTTATTCTTAAGTTTTAGGTTCTGCGCTATTTAAACAGAAAGGTCACTGTAGCTTTGCAAGATTAATTTTAACTATACTATTTAACTATATTAACAAACTTTATTCTGAGCCAATAAATATCAATCAACATTGTCATACTGATTCCTTACATGCTTTAATGCTTTTCTGACCCAGGGATCCCACAGAACTAAATTCTCAATGATGTATTCTTTGGAATAAAAGCTTGGCATTCATGCCATTCCTGTTGTCTACACACTGATTCTGAATTAAGTGAGCTAAGCGCTCAGTGACACTGCAGATGGCTTCTTCACCCTTGCTGGCCAAGAAAAGGTTAAATCACTGTTACTACCTGTTCTCCTTATTGCAGTGCAGCTGGAACAGCACAGCAGCAGCCGCCTGCTTTCAGAAAGGGATCGTACATCATTCTGTACAAATTAATCACCTAAAACTTGTGTAACCAGTCAGTCAGCATCAGCTTCCAATGCCTCACTGCTCTTCCTACAGAAGCAAGGAACAAAGAAATCACAGGCGCTAATATTTCTGCAGGACTCAAACAAGCCAATTAAGCTTCCCTTAATGTGTTCCTATCGGGATGCTGTGCTTGTGTGACATGAAGCCAGGAAATGGGAATATTCACATGGACAAGAATTTCTTCAGTGCTGTAAACGTCCAGCGCTGTTCTTTCAGCTGCAGTGCCCATCTACACAAGATCTGAACCACAGAGGATCCTTATCCTGGCTTTCGTGCTGGTAAGTGGATGTGTGAACATGTGACTTCCCCCTGGACAGGGGGCTGGTCCACCTCCAGCTTCACCCCCCGAGCAGTGCTGGTCCCCACTTCCACAGCTGGGTGGACTGGAGCACAGGAGTAGAGTATCTCACTCATGGTTCAAAGGGATTTGAGCCCACAACCCCCCAGGTTCTGACATCCCCACAACATGGGGACTGCTAGTGATCCAGCTAAGAGGGGGTCAGGACCCTGTCATCTGCTGCTCTGGTCAGGATTATCCAAACGAGAGGCACAGCGGCCGAAGCCTTTCCGGTCTTTCAAGGCTAATGGCATCACCTGGGTCCCGTGGGGCGCCCACGAGCTTCTAGAGCCGTCGGGGACAGGAGGACTGCCTCCTCCCGGCCGCACTCTCTTCCTCGCTCTTCTGGGCAGTGAGCCTCGTCTCTGCAGTGAGTTAACCGAAACTGTCTTTCTTTTCTACAATTGCCCACCCTTTGCCAAAATATCTTCATCCTTTTAGAATCTGTGACATGGGAAGTGTTGGGTGCCCTGGCCTCCGGACCGAAATTAAAAAAAAAACAACACATTCCAACTGGAAATTCAACACTTTTTCACAGCACAAGTGAAACAAAAAAGCCTATATTCTTTAAAGGAGGTATCTCAAATTTTACTAATGGAGACATTGCCGGATGGCTGAGACTTTATTGTCCCCAATGCAGAACTGTGGCTGTATCCTTTTGTGACCTCACCTCTCCCTGATTGGTGGAGTCAACTCAGCTGTATAAAATGGTATTCGAAGTTTGCAGGGCTTTAACACTACACTATAGTGGTGTCCCATTCACAGGGAGTCATGCTCTCAGATCTCTTAAATCTAAGAGAATCCAGGTATCAGAACTCCATAAATACAGTTGCTATAAGAGTAATCACTCTTGGTTATATAGTACATATGCCACCTAAATTTCTCAATTCAAGCATGTAAAGGCAGACAGGTAGATGGCTGACATTTAATTAAGGGATCCAACATGGCTTAAATCTGCAAATAGAAAATATGAGTGAGATCTGTGAAACACTAGACTAACAGAAGCCTCACACTGTTTTTTCTTGGTGTACCACAGAGTGACAAAGCTCTAGCCAGGGTAGAAATAGGAAGACTAACACATCCATTAGCATTCAGCAGTGGCTGCTTGAAAACCTGACTCTGCATCACTGATTTCCATGGGTAGCAAAGCACAAATTGACGCGCAGATGTTTTCTGGAGGAAAATAAAATATAGCCACTCATCTCGCGTAGGAACTGCAACATCAAATGGGCAGATGTGCCCCTATGCCTGGCTGAGCCCCCCGAGCTCGTCAGTGTGCCCCAGCTGTCAGACACTGCCAAGCCTTCACCTCTCCCGGGCTCAGACTCCTCTTCCTGGGGGAGTTACTCCGCGTCGCACCCTGTGAGGAAGTGTCTTTGAACTTACTCTCCCCAGTCACCCAGAACATCTGCCCCCTTGTCGCAAGAGCTGAACCAGTAAACTCAAGGCCGCTGTTTATTTTTTCCAGTTTATAAAACCTTTTATACAAGTTCGCTGCGTATTCCCTGAATATATGCTAAATGTCAGGAAACAAAGGCTGTATTTCCATTTCTTTGTGTCGAATACGAACCCTGCTGGTTCCAGGCCCCCGACTGACCTGCAGTAGAAGGCACGGGGGGTCGAACAGTTTAGAACGACCCTGCTAGAGGAGGCTGTGGGAGCTCCATCACCAGCTGCCGAGAGTCCAGGAGCTGCTCAGACTCCATGATGGAAATGAGAGAGGGATCAAAATGATGAACACTGAGTAAGCACTGGTCATGGCTCATGTTTCTACTAAGCTGGGCAGGGAAAAGAGTTCAATCTTCCCTCATTATTTCTGCTATAAACTGCATTGATCGATGTGTACCAGATAGCTACAATGTATGTATATGTAGCTATAGTCCCTCAATTCAAGTCATTACAAACATTATATTGGGAAAACTGCACAGAGCCAGATCTTATTCAGACTGTAATCCACCAAACTGACCTAATGAAGATTTGAAAATACACTGTTTGAATATCCTCTACCAGAAATAAGTTAATATTTATGTCCAGGGCGTGGACTGAAAGTGCTGTCATACGTTTTGATCATTTAAGCGCTACCTGAAATTACTCATTGGAAAGCTACTTCCTGTTTCCCCATAATGGATCAGAAATGTCCAAAAACACTCCAAACTGTGGACTTAAGGAAAGAATTAATAAGACTATAACCTCCAAATAGAACTGAATGAGTTAAAAGCGAGGAAACATTTAAAAAAGTGTTCTTTTATGGCTAATGGGATGGCGATGGGAATAAGAAAGCTTTCTCACTGTGAATAAAAGAGAAATATTTCAGGATTTTGCCCTCGGTATCTTCGCACCATTTGTTTAATCGATCAGCTATCCCACGAGCTCCTCTCGTTTAGGGCCATGCAACTACTCCAACCGCCAAGTCGGTCTCGAACGCTTCTGGCTGTATTAATGCCAGTTGGATAATGTCTTTCGTTGAAGCACTTTTTAAAGCCCCTCTGCATCCAAGGGGCGGGTGGCTGTTGAAGTCCAACCGCGCTGTTTTGGCCTTCCATGGAAAATGAATCAAAGTGCTTTCCACATTATCTGCTGGGACCATCCGTCTGCAATTTAGACCCCTACACGTGTGGACATGGCTGCAACGGTAATAATAAAGGCAGGGAAACAGATGATTAACTTGCTGCCTGCTGTATCTACTATCAGGTTGTCAACATGAGTCCTTTACAACCAGGGAAAGACACGCACGCTTGAGAGGAAAACTTGGAAATAGAAACGTCTGTTATTACCCAGATTTCAACCTTAGCTAAGTCATTTTGAAATATCTTTTTTTTTTCACTCTAGAGCGTGCAGTTTTATAAAATAAGGAAAGCGTAAGAAGAATTAAAACGTGTAAAACAAATCAAACATTATCCTCGCTGTTGACAGACGCTTCCAAAACTCTGGTGAAGATCTGGATTAAGAATGCTGTGCACAGCTAAAGTAATAAATAGGCAACTACACCACAAAGAAAAGGGACATTTTATTTAACCAAAACACTACACGCACTTGTGCTAGAATACTTTACCTGCAAGGTGATAAAACAGTCAGAAAACTCACATCTCTAGATGCAGTCAAGCAGGAATTATGTGGCCAGCTGTTTTCGTTCCAGACTATCCTGGTCTTTCAGCCAAAGAGTAATTTGCATAATAATGAAAAATAAATGAGTACAATGATTTAGAAAAACCAACGTACAGTCAGAATGCATGTTCGTGGTAAAATTTAAAAGCTTTCCATATCCTGTTTTATAAGTCCAACATTTAAAATGAACTATTTTGGAGAACAAAGGCTGTTAATTTGATTTACTCTCTTTCACGCCTATTAGACTTACAAGACACCTTACTAAACTGGCACCTTTAATCCATTCACCTGCCCATTATCAGTTATTTCTCCACAGTGAAGGCTGTAGCAATCCAGAGAAAACATACTTCTGGAAAAAGTAAGTCAAAATCAAAGTTTACACAGAAGAAAAATGCTAAAACCTGAGATCTCTTTAAATCGTGTTTGGTGAGACTTCTTTGTAGACATTATTTTTACAGCTAAAACACGCTGTTCAAGCTCAACAACTAAATCTGCACTAATAAAGGCATTTTGTTTAACTGCTATTTTCCACCTTTACTGTATGTACATGTACTGTACATGTTAAATCGCCTGTCTATTAGGTCTGCACATTCTGCACAAAACTCCCAATGAAAAGTTCTTTTAAAAAAAGCAAAAGCCTTTTTGGTCATGTGACAAATAAAGGAAAGCTCTGGATGAGAGAGCCCACAAGCTTTTCTGTGGGTAATAGCTGTCTTGGAGCCATTATTAAGCAATATAGTTTAATAGACAGAGTCATGTTCAGAGCCCTCATGACCAGGGGCTATGGTAGTTTTCAGAGTTTGATTTCAAAATTGCTTTCTTGAGGTGTTTCAGTTTTCCCAAAACTAAAACATGCTGTACCATGACAGATTCTACAATCATAAATCTCTTAGCGTTCTTAATTCTTACCACCATATGTCTACAATTCTGGCACTTGCGCTATATCCACTGATGATCAATTATCCCTCACTCAATCAGAAGCTGGCATCACATCCTCACAAGCGACACACACAGGACCATTCCCAGATAACGCTCAGGGGAAATTCAGCGTGGTACTATGTTCTGAAAGAGCAAGCACCCCCCCCTTTTTAAATTAAACATGGGATTGCCATGTTAATTTGTTTATGTTTTTTTATTTTTTTAAGACTTGGCTCATGGCTTTATTCCTTACTGGAGAAAAACATGAATGCTAATTTCAATGGTTAGATGTGTTGACCTGCAGAAACTCTATACAAGGTCAGGATACAGTAGACTGCAGGTTCTGAGCATCACAAGCTTTTTAATCACTTCTGACTCAACCTTGACACTATAAAACATCAGCCTGATGTGAGCATGGTTGTTTTTTTAACAAACTGGGTAAAAAAAACTAGATGGAATTGTATATCAAAGGTGTCTGTCTGACAGAAGTGGTGGCAATTTCTTTACTTTTTATAAAAAATCCAATCTGGAGTCGTAGTACTGCAGCACAATGCGATTTGGTGAGCGGAAGAAATTCCATTTCTGCTTACATTCATTTTTTTCTCCAACATTTTAATTAACTTTGCCAAGGAAACAGACACAGACTGGTTGATGAGAGGCTACTGGTAGTGAGGTACGCCCAAGGAATGCTTGTATTCATTTGGTACTTTTCTGGGGTGCACGTTTCTCAAGGATACAACCACAGTGCCTAACCTCCAGTTAGGAGTCCAAAGCCTTCATCATCTGCTGCAGTATATATACCCTGCCGTGTTGTTAAACCCGATATCCTGACTGTATTCAAGTAACAACTGGATAAGAATCTTGGACCAATTAGCTACTAACTACCAAACAGTCTACATGGGCCAATTGGCCTAGTCTCCTCTGTAACCCTTCTTATATATGTTCTTATATAAAGGAACTAACAATGAGAAAAATTTCAATGTATATCAGCTAATCCATCAATGAGAGCCAAGAAATCAAATGCTGGTGAGAAAATGAAAGAACTGTGCTATCATGTAAGATACACCTTCTAAATTCTGAGTTTCAGCAGTAAAGAGATGCTGTTTGTATGAAGCAACTCCTCTTAAACACCTTAAAATGTGTAGCTTTGCTGCTTTCAATGTTTACAGAACCTATCAAAGTGTATCCTTTCACTGCTCCAACTCTGTCAATCCATCTCTTCCTTTGCCTGTCCATCTATAAAACTGCTCGGAGTTACGAACAAAAGCCTTCTTGGAAAGAGGCTCTCAGACCTGTTCTTATGATGCATGTCAGCTGAATTGTACTTCTGTTCGCTGTGTTAGGCAGATCACAGCTCAGTGACCATTAATCTTACACCAGCAGAGAACTGACACAGGCCTGTGCAGAAGACCCTGATGTTGACAGGCTCATAAAGCACAGTAAATAAATCCAGCTCTAACCTGCTGGGCATCCTTATCACTGCAGCAATCCGAATGAGAACAAACTTAAGAACATAATAAGAGGTTGCAAACGAAAGGTGGCCGATCGGGCCATCTAGCATGATTGGTTTCTACTAGCTGAAGGTGAAAATTGTTTTAACAAGCACAGGCCACACTCCAGCATAGTGCCCAGGCTGTCAGCTGTAATTACTGTTTGTTTTTGCAAATAAAGTTCCATTCAGAAGGCAGAAGACATTCAGTCTTTATTGTCAGTTCGGAGGAAGGGAAGGGAAACAGTTTTACCAGGATGCTTGTTAACACCACATGAGACTAAACAGCACAAGGCCAAGGTCTTTCCAGAAGCTGTGCTTTGTGCCTCAGAGTCACACGCGTACTCCGGTCTCTGGGAGGACCTGGGAAAGATGCAAGATGCATGCTGAGAGAAAGATGATGTAAGTCCGTAAGAAACAGAATTGTTTTTCATTTGAATGGCTTTTCACAATTAGCCAGAGCTTTTTTGGTGGTAGGAAAACACTAGAGCACTACATAAAAAAACAAAAAAACAAAAAGCTATGTAATACAGTATGTCCCCATTAAATCAGGCAGAGAGTTGTGGACAAACTCTGTCCACAGAGGCGAATCTATTTGTTTAGACAACCCAAAACAAAACAGGCAAAGAAACCAGAACTGCAGTGAAATAAAACAAACAAACGTGAGGGCCGCCCTGGATTTGAGCCTTAGCGAGCAGAGTAGACTGTAAACTCAAACTGGAGGTTTCTCTTGGCCACTTGAATTGTCCTTCCACATCCTCCACACTCCAAGAGAGAAAGCAGAGGTAAGATGAAGTCATTTGTGTGCTTGAACCAGTTGCCGTGTTATTTTTTAAAGAGCAGACTCATGGTTTCAAAAGCACACTGGCATCACTCCCTGACAGGTGGGCTGACAACCCCAAGACATCCAGCTCACAGGCGGCACCAGCTGTGCACTCAGCCCACATGGCCACACGTACTACAGTCGATTTCAAGAGATCACCTCTGCAGCGAAAAAGGGAGGCAGCTGTTACTAGTGTGAGCATGTTTTACTATAAATGTAGAGACAATAGGGTCAGAGAATATCCCTTCCAAGATAGTAACCCCTGACAAACAGATGATGTAGATACATTTCTACAATTAATGATCTTTGATGCTTAGCATATACCATCTTTATTTTAAAGGATTAAGGAGCCCCAAAATATTATTTCTGGTGTGCTAGTCTACTGGATTTGGCATTGAATTAGTTGCATTATTAAGATCTAACAGGAGAGGAAATGCAGCAATAAATGCAGTGAATTACAGAAGAAATCCCAGCCCAGCGTGGGAAACACTGCCTTATAAATGAAGAATTCTGCAACGGCAGGTTAATTTCCTGACGTTTCTGATGTTGATAAATTATTGCATGAGAGCCAGATTTATGAGGGAGGGTGGAAGAGGGCTCACAGGACCCATATGAGTTTAAAATTATTTAGGGCAGGTGTGTGCATCTGACTCGTGAAAAACAAGATGTTAACGAACATGCTGAGTTTTCACCTATTGTTTTTTTTTACCTTAATACTACGAGGTTATCGTTACAGGTAAAGGCTGAGAGAAGAAATGCTGCAAGGGTCAAACCATAAGCCTTGATTCAGACGTGGTGTTTAATTAAAACACAGGGGATTCGGCTTGAAAGGCAGAAACAAAAGATAAACCGCTACAAAAAATGGAGCTGACGAACTGAGAGGCACTCTGAAAATAAGGTCAGGATGTGTTTGTAGGACTGGGAAGGGACTTCTGACCTTCCAGCTCTTTGGAATTCTACAAATTCAGACTTTGCATAACGATTTGTTTTGTGGGCAGCCGACTCTGCACACTGTGGTCTAGAGCAGAGTGTTGTAGGACTCAAACAATTGCAGGCGACAGGATCATTGTCCTTCAATATTTGCAATTGTTCTCTTTTTGAAGACTATGGAGCTGGGGAATAATCTCATTAGAAAATGAGTATGTCCAGGGCTTTCTAAAGCATTAGTTTAGCGTTTTCTCTCCTTTCCACAAGCTCACATCTTTCTCCATCAATGCGCTGACTTTATCTCCAAACAGATCTTAACTGATTAAAGATTGCCTTTCTCTGCACAGGCATGCTGACTGATCCTAAGCTGTGCATTTCCAACAAATGGCAGCTGTACATCACAATGCTCTGTGAGCCGTTAACATGAATTATAGGGCAGAGGCCTGTTAAATAAATGAGGAAACGAATAAACAAAGAGCCTAATCCTTGCCTACCACGCTGATAGCTCATCAGCAAGAGAAATAATGGGGAGAAAAACTCATTTCTGTGTCTTTATTGCTAAATAATAACAGTATCTGTGTCTGGAATTACTGAAGGATTATGGACCGGTCGGCTATAATCACTCGACCAAAAGCAGTCATTAATGACTCTGGTAAATTCCTCCAGTGTCTGTTTTTAATTGATACAAGGGTTTTTAAAAAAGAAGAATGTCAGCCTTTGGTATTGGCAATGCATTCATTTAGTGAAAATGAACCTCAGAAGTGAGCTATTGTTTCTGCAGATCCCAGCTGGGAAGCAAGGGCTCCAGATACCACAGCTGAGTCACGTGATCGCAGCACACCTTAATACACCAGACCAGGTCTTCAGATCGTAGCTCTAAACCTACATGATGATGGTTGTGCCCGATTCCAAACCCATTTTTTTAGTGCCCTCATAATTTGATTTTGTGCTCTGCAGGTATGTAGATTTGCAAATTCATATTACTTATGCTTAACTGCAGTCATGAGTTGCTGTAATTGAGTCTTCCGTCTGCCAGACATTGTTATGCAACATCACGCTTGGCTTGCCAGTTTCTTCAGCCCAGGTCTGTCATTAGAATGCCCAGTTAGCTGGAGTTGGAGAAGTAGAGCAACAACAAATTTCTCACATGTGCTGCTTTAATCCCAGTTTGACACATAGAGGCCAGTGGGCTTTTATCTCGGCACAACCCAGACTCACACCCCCCCCCACAGCTCCTGAACTCTACCTGACCCCCCTGACCCCTGCCAGCATGATGGGATACGCTGTCAAGAAAATGCAGGAAGCTGCAGAATGAGAAATCCATTCAAACTGAGAATTTAAATGGACATATATTTGGGACAGAAATTGGGATTTATTTTACACATCAGGTTGTAGGACATTGGAATAAGATGCTAATAAGAAACATTCTCGATTCAGATTCCTTCAGACCCTTTAAGAGGAAACGGGAAGAAACCAACTGACTGAATAAACTACTCTTATTTGTTTTGATCTGACTGATTTTCCATTCAGAAAGAGCCAAGTTCGTGCACAAATCTTGGATTTGTGACGAACCATGAATTCATCATCTTGTACAGTATTTTTCCCTAAAAGTGGAAGAAACTAAACAACTAGAAACCTATGGTAGGGAAAATTCAAAACTTAAACTAAGCACTTAGCTGCTACCACTCCCAAACTATGCAGTTATAGGGTCACAATCTAATATTAACAACTATCATAATGAACCCGTTACATTTACTGCACATAGACTTTTGAATTAAAATTCACCCTGACACCACAGAAGAGTCTTAATTTGAAAACCACAACTTATTTGAAATTAGTTCCCAATTTGAGAACCAAAAGTAATTTGAAATTAGCTCCTAATTTGAAAACCACAACTAATTTTAAACAGAACAACACAACCTTCAGCCATAAAAACTGCAATAATATTAAAACAAATAAGGAGACACTTCTGTACCATGGACTGTTTTACGATGAAGCCTGAAAGGAACTGAATAATTTGTTTAGCTTTCAGATCTAAGGAAGTTGCCTGAGCTTGAGAAAGACAGGGGGGAGATCGAGAGAGGGCCCAGACTTAGAGAAATTAGTTTAACACACCACCCTCATGACAGTGCAATTAAATCCTTGTAGGCTGATGCCCTGGTTCCTGTTTGTTGATGTCCTGTACTCAATCACTAAGCATGCTCTTGTACTGCATGTGGAAACACAGCCAGAGCTCCTGGATGTGCAGTATGGATTCTAGCCTACTATGACGCTTCCTCGCTGAAGGCACTCTCTACACTGATGCCAGGGACACACCAGGAAATAGTTGGGTGTCTCATTGTCCACAAGCTGGACGAAAGCTGGCAGAGCTTGAAAATATTTACCAGAAAAACCAGCTACATACACAACATCTTTGATGCTTTTAATGTCCATGCCCAGTGACTGTGAAGCTAAAAATTGCTGCTTTGATCTGACCAGCCAAAATAGCTGTTACTCAACGTCAAAATTTAAATTTTGTTTTTAGTTACAAACAGGACAAAATATCTTGTTTACTCAAAGCTGGTCTTCCTCATTATTCTAGTCCTTTCTACCTCAGGAAATTCAGCACCTAAAGTTAGGTACTCGTAGCATCGGGATGCTTGTTCAAGGGAAAACAATTCCCTGGTGCAAAAGTGCTATCACTCATTCCTCTTGTATCTACTGGGAGTTTCTGAAACACTGTACTAGTGTAATTACCTTGTACAGATTACAATGGGCAGTACATTTAACAGCTAAATAATAGAAAAACCATTAGATACGCATGCCACAGTTAAGGTTTACTCTCATTTTGTCATAAATTAGTTCAGGGAACATTGCACTTATGATCCTTGCAATGCAATCAAATGCACACACAATTGCACAGCATATATATATATATGCACATATATATATGCCAACTAAAGGCAAAATAGCTAAATTGCATGTTATACAGAGCACACACATATAAGTTAATCATATGTATGTACAGAGTATAAATGTATACACACTGTAACACCACTGAGAATCGGCTAAAAGATATTCCACAGGCATTCCGATAGACGCATGGCTAGTCTTTAGTTTTAAATCTTTTTTTTAATTATTACTTCTTAAAATATTGAATCAGCAATTATTCAATTATATCTGGCATTGTTACTGCTGTCATTTGTGAATGAAGCTAGGGAAACTACAGATCTTCAGATGGATGCTTAAGACATAGTGTAGCTGAGCTTCAAATTCAGGCTGAAGCTTTCAAAACAGAAGTGCCAAACATGAGCCTTAACTCTACAGAATCTCAGTAAATTTACCATCTAACCAGGTTAGTAAGGGGAAATTCTACAAACTGGCTATCAAACAGTCATTCCCAAAGCTCCTGGGTATATTTTGCTTTTCTTGTGCCATTTTTCACAGAAGAGCTCATTATTCTTCCAACGCATTTCTGACTGATGATACAATGTAGAATATGAGTTTCTTTTTTATTGTGTGTAAGTACGTATCCATTTTGGTTTTTCGTAAAATTAATCTCTTTGTAAATCTAGCGAACCGCACAGGTTTTACATCAGTTCATTAAGAGACATGTCTCGTGCTGGGCTTTGTAGGCTTCTAGTTTGCTGATCCTAAAGGATCCTGAGAACACAGCACACAAAGTAAAACACTGGGGAAGCTAACAGGACAAAAATGTACTAATTTCACAAACAATCTTGAAACTCCAAATGCTGGGCATATTTTAAGTACAGCAGAAGGACAAACATACCATCTTCATCACCTTCAACCTTTATTAATCCACTGCTGCATGAAAACCCCTTCATAAATCCTTCATGAACTTCTGTCTTTGGACGACTTCAAACTCTTCTGCAAACTTGTTGACCTCATCTTGTCATCTAAAAGGAGATCTTTCCCTTGGTCATTTATATTTGGAACCATTCCAATATGTCATTGTTCCAATTATCCAATTCTTCAGCTACATGTCCAGCTTCACTCCTATAATCATGCCACCCTTTGTGCTATAAACCATCCATTTCTTTCTCTGCCTCATCATCTCCTTCTCAGCTTCTTTGGGTTCTCTGTAATTTCTGCCACATTACAGCGTTCAGGAGCAAGGATTCGCAAACATTCAAAGGTCGAAGATTTTCCTTTCCAGGCACAAAAGCCGCTTCAATTTTAGAATCACTTTAGAAGCTAACATTCACTTTTCATTTCAAGTGTCAGGATTTCAGCTGATGACATGAACTGGCCCAAACACACATTGCTGTGGGCCTCTTCACTTTTGACAACAGATATTTTGTTTTTGAAATTACAATAATCTTAGAAAAACAGCTTTCTGAATGTTTTTTCTTATCGGCAAAGAGCTACTGGTGTTGGTTCTCACACATATTAGAAGAAACAAACACGATAAATTCTTGCCAACAACTACATCCAATGCTTTCATAGTTACATTCTGTTGCAAATCAAGCAGCCATGTGTCTATCAGAAGTCCACCTCATCTACCAATCACAGTGCACTGCGCTGCTGCATAGGTGCTGGGCTGTAAGGGAGGGGGTTTGTGTGAAATGAAGGGGTAACAGGAAGCTGTGTCTGGGGCAGAAGCAGTGTGCATGTGCGTGTGTGGCGAAGGGGTTTAGGAGAGGGGTGAAACAGGTCAAAGGCTTCTTACCACATTTGGAAAGCCTGCCAGTCAACAGCTCCATACAGTGGGTGGTGTCTGGATTACAGGGGGGAAAATGTTAAAGCATCGCTCTAAACCCTGCCAGCAAATTCAACACAACCCTCTGCACCCTCACGTGTGGGGTCAGGCCCACGCTGCGCGTCCCTGCAGGCTGGATCCTGCACGGCCCGGGCATATTACAAATGAGCACCCACAAGACAAACAGGAATGACCCTTTTCCTTCTGTAATATCAGCCTGGATTTGAACACTTGTCAGTCTCTTGTTTGACGCATGAGCCCAAGACACACAGGGTGAGATGAGCTTGTGTCTCTTCCATTTCCTACCAGGTGCTCAGACACAATGCATTATCTTAAAGGTTGCCCATTTGAATATGACAGAGCTCTGATTAATCTGATTAATCATCAGTATAAAATCTTTACTGTACAACATTACACACCAGGTATGATCAAAATTTCAATTTCTTTTTTCTCTCAGTCACCTTAAATCTGTGTCAGTCAATGGATGGCAAACCGTGATGGCTGAATTACTTGATCCTCAATAACCTGTCCCCAGCCTATCTGATATATAATTATAATGAAACTGACATTCAGTGACAGTAAAAATATCTTTAGGATGAAACATTTTGCAAACATTCCTTCATGCCCACCATGATCCTAGATTTGAGTGCTGCATTTCAAATGGTGATTCCATGCAGCAAGAGCTCTCTGTTGTGCTAAATGTGAGGAGAGTTTACTGCCAATGCTGGGAGTGGTGTGTGGCTGTTCAAGAGGCTGTGGTTCTAATGTCAGAAAGCATAAAAGAACATGAAGCCTTTCAACAGTAGACTCCCAGATAGTCTGAGATTGGCCCCAGCATCAGCACCAGTGCAGTACTGCAACATTTATCAACCTGCATTCCAAACACTAACTCAGGGGACACGAAGAACAAACAATTCATTTTACCTGAAATTAAAATGTAACTTCAAAGTATATGAGGGGTATTTGTTTCATAAAGATAAGAATGTACATCTTTCATCTACTCTAGGTAACTCTAGGGAATTCAAGGTCAATGTTAAAGAAGCACAGCCAGCATCTTCATCTTCATATTCACCAAACAGGGTCAAGCATGGCCTTAGTTAAGATTATTGCAAGAAACAATCAAGTGTAAGCTGGGTTGTGGGCTCACCTGAGAGGCGAAGGTAGTGGGTTGTGTGTCGTGCTTTTTGGTAGACAGAGGGACTGATCAGGATGGACTGGTCCTGGAAAAGGTGACTGGCTACTGGGATGTGAAATAACAGATCCCAACGGACTGCTCCCTGGCAACAGAGACTGGCTACTGGGATGAGGAATTCCAGATCATGATGGACTGCTCCAACTAGATCCCTGCAGTGGCTCAAGTCTAATTGGTGTGGGCGAGGGATGTGTTGTCTCGTTGGTAGCTGGGCACAGAAAAAATTCACTGCATGTAGGAGTGTAGGATGACTCGGGATCCATCTTTCTTGAGAGCTGTAAAGGACCATTAAGGCTGTGGATATTTACAATGTGCATCACTTTATTAAAATATTATTTATTGCCTAATTACTTACTGATTAGGGGTTTCACATGCTTTTGGTTAGATACGCCCACCATCCTGATCCTAAACTAGTGTCACGGGGCTTCAAGGGACTTACACTATTGCAGGAGTGGTTATAATGTCTTGTGGGGGCATGTGGGCACAATCAGAACATTAGTGGGAGGGGTCGACATTGTTTCAAGCGCGGGTGGGATTGTGACAGAAAAAATAGTCCCGCTCAGTAGTGTACGTGGAATCAGAACATCATGGCCCGAAGCTTGATAACCGTAAGGTCACTCAATCACGACACTGGGGTTCGTATTGTAGGAAAAGGGAATCCAGACAGTCAGTTTTATCCTTCATTTTCCGCGGGATCTCTGTTTCAACGCCCCCTCCCGCCTGCAAGTCTGTCAGCCCAAAGTGTGTTAACCACAGGGGACCCTGAATCATCACCATCTGCTTCTAGCTAAAGTGCTACAAAAACAGCCCTTCGATAATGCCCTGCTGAAGCCAGGTGGTTGCTGCACCTCAGGTCTGAACGAAGTCGGCGTCTCCTACATGTAAAACACTATACAAATGCTATTACTCCTCAGAATGTATTATAGGAGCAGAGGTTGAAAACTGATACAGGTATGTCTGATCAGGAGACAGGCCACAGCTGCCCAGACAGTCGGATAAACCTCCACTGAAACTGTCAGAGCAAAAGACAAGTCATCAAAGTCGCCTGACCGGTACTGCCCCGAGATCAATCCATCGGCATTCCTGCATAGAAATGTAGGTTCTAGTTTAATTTAAAAAACTCACTTTTTGTTTAAATTCTACAGGTATTTCAAAATAAGTATATGGAATGTGTATTTACACAAAAAATTCTAAATCGATGGTGACACAGCATACAAATATGCAAAGAAACTATCCATTATCTTATTAAAGGAAAGCATTATTGAATGTTTTTATATAAAGAAAAACATGTACTTTGTCATGATCAATTCAAGGTATTACTTAAAATTATTTATTCAAGTCTTAACTTCAGATTTACAGCTTCTAGAGAGGTCAGCCCTCCCTTCAGCTCAGAAACAAGGATCAAGCTACAAATCTGTTTTCATGTGAAGAGAAATCTTGGAAACAAGTTCAGATCTCACTGCTCTTCTGTTTCTGTATTCCAGCTACACTCTTGCACGTCTCATCTCCTAATTAGCTTCTTTAATGGGAAGAGTGCAATTAAAAAATGCAAAACAACCTGTGAACTATTAATAGTCAGCAAACTGAATTTCAAAAGACCACAGAGTAAATATGTTAGCAATACAGGATTTATCCAGAACCTTGACAGTATTGATACTAATTTAATTTCACATCAAAAAAACTTAAAAAAAAAAATCCCAGGTCATTTTCGCAATTAAAAATATTTTTTAGCTCATCAAAATATCATCTTGCATGAACAGCATAATGATTTCCTTGCATGTCACGCATTTATGCAAACTGCGTAATCACTTTTGGCAGACATGTTTAAATCAATGTCAATATGAAACTGAGTGACACAGCATTCATTATTATTTGTGGTTGTGTGCTGTATGGATAGCTGGAGCTCTATTACCAAGTTACATAAATACACCTGAATCTGATAAGCCCCTAAAGGAATACTTCTGAGAATGACAGGAGTTACTCATTTCAGATTGTGTTGTAGGTGCCATGTATCACAAACAAGCACACATTTTGTGTATGCACCACATCAGCCCTTAGTGGAAAGTATTTACTGCCAAGAACAGCATTCTATATTCAACTATAGCTTATACCTGATAGTCAAGCAGAGCGCTGCAAAGATTAGGTGCCAAGCTTTCCTGAAACTGGGTCTAGCTTTCCTGAAACTCTCTGGTTAAGGGGGAGGCCAGCAGAGGTGGCGTTGTGTGCTTGAGAGGGAGGTGGGCGGAATTCCACAGAACAGTCATGATGGGATGAAGTTGAAAGGTTGACATGGAGAGATCGGCCTTGTGCTGTGGAGTTCCTGATAAGAGACCAAGGGCTACAGGCGGAACTAAGGCACACATGTAAACCAGTGTCCTCTTCCGAGCAGGGCTGATTAATAGCAGAATAAAAGCTGCATTCAGATTTTTAAGAGAACTGCTGAATTACAAACACTGATGTCAATCCCACATGCTGAAGAGCTCTAATGGAACGTTCCGCTCTCTCACAGTTTCCAATGACAATATCAAATTATTGTTGTTGACATTTTTTCACCGCAATCTTAAATTCAGTTATGTCAATGCAAAGGCACATTGTCAGCGTTCAGTGATGTTCTTCCGAAGAGAACACAATTAACAGGGCTGTAGTTTATTATCTTAATGACGTTTCGGTAAGGTCCCACATTGGGCTGTTATCAGGAACTTCACAAGGGTGTGGAAATGGGCTGACTCAACAGAGTGAAGATAAGAAAATGGCTACCAAGAAATGCTAGCACGAAAGCAGGGCAAAACGAACAAGGACATGCCCCATAACTCTATTACTTTCTTTTAGTGGGGTTTTTTCTTCTCTGTTACAAACAGCTTGCAGGGTATTTTCTTAAGTGACTCTGAGGGCCGTACTCAGAAAGAATTCAGCACGGTGACAAATTTGATGTGGCTGTTTTGGGGAAAAAGAAGAACAGGAAAGGAATAGAGATTTTTATTTAGCAATGGGGAATCCATTCATGAGTCAACAGCAGACTATCGGGCTCTGTAACAGTCAGCACATACCATGTGGACGGCTGGTTTTATGCGGGCCCAGTGGTACTGAACCAGCACGGTTCAACAGTATCCAGCAGCTGCCCTCGCTGCTGCTGCTGCTGCTGCAAGTTAGTTTTACTGTGGCTCTGCTTGCTTGCTGGAGCCCACGATCAACAAAACCACCCAGGAGTCCTGTTAAACTCAGATATGATCCAGCTACAATCACATCATTTGTTTTAGAATCTAAGTGTATAACATCATACACAGAACGCTCTCCTGTGTTAGGTTATAACCTAGAAGAGACTGTTCTACACATGGTACGGTATAAATGAGTGCAGATGTAACAATAATTGAAGGCTACAGCTAATAAACTTTGCCACGATCAGCTTCTCAATAACACAGGCCACAATTTAAAGTGAAAACTGGCCAGTAAACAGTACATAAGGCACTTATATTTCACTGTTGCACACGAGGGTAAACTTAGCCACCAGTGAAAGGCTTTCTGATTAGGGCCTTGTTCGTCTCCTGCAGCAGTACACCAGAAGCCAGGCTTGCTGGCCTTATTTTGCCACTGAGGCAGGAGAGCAAATGTGGCCGCAGAGTCTCTCTGCCGATACTGCCCGACTGAATGGGTCAGTCTGCCACCTCACGCTGTTGGCCAGTCTGCCTCAGGGACTGAAACACGTTGGACGGGACACAGGTTAGAGCTAGTCACTGCTAACTAACGCAAATAAAAATACAGGAATATTTGACTACGAGTGCTCAGCAGTATGAGGTTCCACACTAGAAACTAAGCCTTTGTATGCTCTGGCCCCTTTCAGCCTGCTTGGACACCTTTAAAGACTGAAATAAGAAGCCACTGAGCACTTGAGGTAACATTCCCCTGACTTGCAAACCTCAGGTTTAACTATCAGCACGGATGTATGCAGGTGGCTGTGCTCATGATTCTATGTGCGTGTGTGTATATTTTGCTTTTAAACAGAAATACCATCAGGACAGACAAAATGTCAGTTTTTTGTTTTGTTTTGTCCTAAAAAAATTTTTTTGTTTGTTTTGTTTTTTTCCTCAGAGCTGCTCTGAAGGAAACAGTCAGGCCCGAAACACACACAAGCACAGGCGGCGCGTGGCGGACGATGCGTTTGCGATGCGGGAGAGCACGTGAGGCCGGGCTTCGGCTCACGGGATGCGTGTGTGGAGTCGGCGTGCTGGCCGGCACCCCCCCAAGCCCCACCCCTCAGTGCCCCGGGGCCAGCGTGGTGCCATGGTGTGGGTCATGCAGAGAGTGCTGGCGGCCCGCGAGGAGGTACTTACCGGACAGCTGCTGGACTGAGGGCTGGTCATGTGTGCTTAACAACTGGGCCTGAATCGTCTCCACCACCCGCTTGAACCGGCGGCTGGGCCCTGTGGGAAGGAGCACAGGAGTCGGCCTCGTGGCTCGTGGCTGGGAGGCTCGGAGAGTGTGTTTACACAACAGTTACTGGAAAGGCTCCCCTTCTCGCGTTTAAGCTATTTATTTGCAACTTAAATACAAGCCCACTGAGAGAAAATGTGGCCACCGTGTTAGTCAAACATGCGCAAATGCAAGCAAAAGTCTCTAATGCCAATTCCCCTGTTCCTCAGGGCCTTAACTTCGGCACTCGAGACAAGCGCACCAGGGTGTGCAATACGTACACTGCAGCTGCCGGGGTAGCTGCAGAGCTGAAGGGAAAGCTGTAGCTAGTGTCCTCAAATAAAAGAGATTTACGAAAACAAATTGAGGTCAATCCACAGAGTTGCCAGAAGAGATTTATTCAGGAGGTATTTGTTTTTCCAGAAGGAACAGTTTTTGTTTCATTCCTCTTCTAAATATAATTTGCACCTAGCCTTGGATGAATTCCCCAACAGTCTCAGCAGAACTAAACTCTCTGTCACCGAGTGCTTGTAATGAAATGACTAATAGCGTCTCTGCTTTGCCAAGCTGACTGTTCGCAACATCCATTTTAAACAGGTACAACGTGTTACATTAGTACCGCAGTGCTGCTCTTTAAAAAAAAAAAAAACAATCCCTCATCAATGCCAAAAAACCTGGCAATCAAAAGGATGAGAAGTAAATTAAGAACAGGATTCTAATAGACAGCAGCAGCCTAACAAATGGAAAACTCTGCTCTCAGTATTTGTGCCAGTATGGTCATGTGACGGGTGAATGAGAAAAATGGAACTCGAGTGACAAAGAAAAATTGGCCCAATATGGAAACTGTCAGATTTAATGGGCAGCATTTTTTTTTATTCTTTTTTTTTTCTCTGTAGCAGCTTCATAAAGCCTATGGGGACATTTATAACATGAATATTCACAGCTTCCTGCCCCCATATTTGGGAGATGGACACGCCAGCTGAGTGGGTGCTGGCTCTCCGGCCCAGTCAGACGCAGTGGAAGGTAGGGCTGACCCTGTCAAAGCTATGATCCAGCACTCCAATGGGAGCTGCAACACTTCTGAAATTTTTACCTGAAACCACTGTGAATTAATTAAACAGTAAGTGGAAACACCTTCTAACTTGTCTGTGAGCTTTTTTCTACTTCATCACAGAATACATTATATTTACCCACTCACCCACTTTCTAACTGCTTCTACCAATCCAGGGTCGTGCGGGAGCCGGATCCTATCCCAACAACCAATGGGCGCAAGGCAGGATACACCCTGGACAGGACACCAGTCCGTCACAGGGCACACAGATACAAACATGCACAAACTCACACCAAGTCCAATTTTCCCAGAAGCCAAATAATCCAAAATATCTTTGGACTGTGTAAGGAAATACATGTGAACATGGGGAGGATATACAAGCTCCAAACATTTAGCACCCTAAGTTGAACTTGGGCCCCATGCTGTATGACAATTTTTGTGACCATATCACAGTAGAATAAGATATTTTCAAAAGCACACAGTCCTCTCTCTGGTGAATAGAACAGACAGGTCCCAAGATCAGCAGATCAATTGACTGATCCAGAAAAGCTTCCACTTCCTGGTTTTTAAACAATCACCTGACCAATTGTCATCCAGCAACTGGTCAGGTGACTAGGAAAAGTAGCCCACCCCCCCAGAGCTTCCTGGGAAATTTGGTTCAGTTTGGACAAGGAAGCCACCTTGCCTGAACCTGCTGTGCTCTTGTGCTGTAATACAGAAAGCAAAAGGTTCTTTGCCTGCCTGTCTGCAGATACTGCAGCGTGTGTGTCCCACCCCCCACCTCGCAGCAGGTAGAGGTCAGGTGGGGAAGCTGGCTCTGCCATGTGGACAGGCCCTGCTGGTATCTATGGTTACCTGACAGCAATGTGAAAGTGACAGAGTAGATGCCGTTCTCCTTTTGCGCCTCGTTGCCTTCTGTGTAGGTGATGTCCACCTGGAATTTGACAGGTTTCTGGAAAACCGTGGGACCTCCAGTCGACTTGTACTCTGCCCGAAAACTGGTTTGCGATATCACACTGTGGCTGAGGCTGGGAATCTGGAACAAACACAGGGAAATGAGACAATCGAAGGCACAGTTTGGCATCACATTCACACTCACACAATATAGTTGTCACGGCTGGGAAGAAAATGAGACGCATTCACAAGACGACACTACTGATTTTGTCCGTATTGTGTATCTACGAAATCCCTGACATCATGAAAAATTTAGGTCAGGCTTAGGTTCTTAATAAAGTCTCGCTCCGAAACACAGTAATACACTGAGCCTTGAATTTGATCAACATGATGAAGACAGAAGCAAGCAGCAGCACCACTCAGTAGCCTGTGAACAGTTGTCTTTGGTGTGAGAAGTCAGGCTTTGTGACCTACAGCCCCTGCAGGGCAAAGACAGCCCTAACAGCAAGGTGGAGTGCTGCTTTATCCTTTATTAACCTGGCAACTCAGAGGGGCTCTGAAGAGCCCTGAGGCAGAGGAAAATCAGCTTCAGAACTTTCTTAGCAGGATTACAGATACAGGCTGAACAGTGAATACCCCTCACAGCAGAAGATAATAGCACATTGCAAAGATGGGTGGCAGTGATTGAAATGTGGTCTGTCAAAGCTTGCCCATATTAGTTACCTGGTAATATGAGAGAACTGCAGAAATAGATATGCTGGTGATTTATGCAAACTAGAAATGAAGCAGTGAGATAGAAATAGATCCAAATGAAAATGGTTGTAAGGGTAATAGGTTAAAAATGTGGGCACCAAAGGTATACGAGTTACACCCTTACCTCTTTTTACGAATGTAATTTGTTTCCAGAAACCCTTTCATATAGAAAGAATTGGTAAAAAGAAAAAACCTTTTCCCATTATTTCTTATGGGGAAAAATTATTATCCATTCTGGACACCAAAAATGTCACACCTACATTTGAACAATAACTAATGTTCATACCGTGGTTTGTGTTTTTAGTAATAGTTCAATGCTCACCTAGTTAGAAATGTTCAATCATACCTAAGTACTGTACAGTACTGTACAGAAACCACTTATTTTGGTTTGTGTAATTACACACATACTCAGAATTTTCATTTTCTTAACACCTTTAGGGTTCAAGATAAAGTTTATACTTCAAATATTCTTATGAAAAGAGCACACACACTAGCAAATGCACGAAGCAAGATGCAGTCAGCTGTATAACGTCTCTCCTGCCAACGGGCTCTGTGCTGCCTCTCACCCAGACTAGTTAGCGGAATGTGAAACTCAATATGAAACGAGTCGTATGACGCCTTCCTCTTCACTCTCTACATTTGGAGAAGGTTTTAAATTTGTCTTCCTATTGCTTCTTCTGTGTTTTGAAGTTGGCTTTCGTTATAAGAAATGTGGGTAACAATTCCCATGCCCAATAATATCAAAAAGATTCACAAAAAGAGGTTGCGGTGGTTTCTGTGCATTTCTGTGACATTCTAAACCACTATGTCATCTTTTTTTAAACTCTTTTTTAGATTAGAGATTAGATTTGAAATCAACAATTGCTTTCAGAACCCCCTTCCCACCCCCTGCATTGGAAGAGCCAGGTGTTAATTGCTGGACCTATGCTGCCAAGATCTTTGTCCCACCATGAGAAGGTCAAGACCCAGGAACGTTCTCCTCTTAGACCTGGTCTATCAGTGTCGGCTGCAGTGTGAGCACTGAAGGAGAGATGAGGTGACCCCTGCTGACAGCACCCCCAGCTCTCCAGAGACTGCTGTCTTCCAGCCCAGGGGTACCCAAGCCGCCTCAAGCCTGGCCTGAGCTCAGTGCACTTCTGCACACTGTGCGCAGCTGTCTGGGGAGACCCCAGTCCACATTTACCAATTCATCAACCTGGAAATGTGCAAGACTACAGAGCTTAACCTTGTTGTGTTATAAATGAATACATGTCAAAATAATTGGTCTTTTTTCAAGGAGATTATTCAGGATTTCTCTTTTTGTTCCTAAAAAAAACACCTTGCGTGTGCAAATAACTATAAGTGTGTAAGTAAATATACAGTAGAATACATTCAGATCATTAGCTTCATCAACATGTATGATCTAAAAATAAATCATAAAGCAGCGCCGACACCAGGAACATTTGATTTCTGGGCGTCTATATGAATATATAAGGGGTTTTAGAGGGGATGGATTAGATTGAGATCAATCTTACCGAAAGAAATGCGTGCACTATGTCTGCTTTGATGGAACTCAATGGCTTGTCCTTGATCACCACGAAGATTTGCTCTTCTTTCTCCAAGTTGATAAAGTTACCAAACCAGGACTTTTTGGCAAGTCTGTAAGACACAGGAAAAAAAACCCTAAACGTTCAGGTATAACATTGCCCACAAATTTGTTACAAATTTACTAGACAAGTTTCCTACTGAAGACTTGGACTTCTCTGAGCAGAGCATAACTAAGGTAGCATGGGCCAAAGAGTATAGAAACTGTTTGCATGCAGAAGCACCAGCGTGAAAAAAATGAAACTTTCTCTGCCTCTGGGATTTTGACAAACTACATCATGTAAATTACAATCGGCAGCAGTTTTAGGACTTAAAAATGATTTATGAAAGACATTGATGCCAGAAGCCCTAGGACCTGTGGCAGATGGATTTTTACCCCGCTGACAGTGGTAAAGTAGGGGAGTGACTACAGCCACAGAAACAGAGAAACACACTAAAGTAAAAACACTGTACTACGATCTTGCCTGAAGGCAATAAGGCATTACCCTGGGAACAAAAATTTTGACATTTGCCTTCTGCAGTTAAAAATCTGAAACTGAAATCTGAATGAAAAATTTATCAGCAGCAGAGCCAGTGGGGTATGGACTGAAATTAACATCTGCCTATCCGGCTGTTCCTACATGAGGTAAAAGGCAAAATAATTCATTTTAAGAAGAAGTGACATCTTTTTACAGACAGAGATGAGGCAACACTGCTCATGGAAAGCAAGATATTTTTCTGGCTTCCATTCCAAAACAACTATCATTTAATTGAACTAGCTCACTTGTGTACATCAATGTCATCTTGAGTCTTTGACTTAAAACAACTAAAAAATCTGAAGGACTGGGCTTTCGGTATCAGGAGCTAGACGTCACTAAATTAGAACCTAAGAAGTTAGGTTATGAGTTAGGTGCCATTTCCTCAAGAATGTCTGGGTGTCAGCTTCAACAGTGTCTTCATAGCCTATTGCCCACTCTTGCAAACCTTTCTTCAAAGAAGAACGTCTTGTTCTCGGTGTTAAATGCATGTTCCCTTAAGGTCCAAGTACGTGCTCTAGTTTTTGTTTCACTGTTGATTCTGAAGAATGCCATTGCCCTTGTGGATTCTGAAAACTTGAATCAGGTTCCTTGCATTCTTAGGCCTTGTGTTTGTACAGAAGAAGGTCCTGAAGACAATCCACATGGTTCCTAAACTAATCATTTTTCACCACAGGCAGAAGAGTCAGGGCTCTTTGAACAGTTAATGGACACAGCTATGTATTTTACTGTATGTCACAAGGATAGGACTCTACCAATACTACAATTAGAAATGCGCCCCCCCCAGCCTGTCATTCTGAGATGTTGTTCCTGTTAACTCCCAAGTGCCAACAGAGAACAAAGCAAACCCCTGTCCTCTTCAAAAATCACTAAAATACCCCACACCAGGTTAGTTAAGTAGGTCTAAAGATATTTACAGAGCTTAATTTCCCCTGCAGGCAGTTATCAATTCCCCCGCAGGTAGTGTGAAAAATGAGCGATAATAGACAACAAAGATGAGCTCACATTGGATTTAATGTAAGTACTGGAAGTGAACTGTTACTATGTGTAACTTTACTTAGTAGAGCTATTTCTAATTAAACACAATGCTGCAAGATAGAGATCTAACAAAATGACTTTGTCTTAATATTTGGCAATAAAAATAAAGCAACAGTTTAATAACAGCTGATGAATACTGAAAGTCTTGAACACTAAAGTATATCAGCATCAACGGCAGAGCAAATTCTTTAAGCCAAAACTGAGCAAGAGCTGAGGTTACACAAGCAGGATGTAAAAAACGGGCAGAAACAATTGCTTTAAGTGTCCCCAAAGTGTGGGTGCATGTGAGGCTTACAGGTCCAGACTGGAGCGCAGGGCAGCAGTCAGAACAGATGGAAGTCTAGATGTCTAGGATGGAGCTGCAGTATGATTTGACCACAAGGCACCTTGAGTCGAAATGGAACAACAAGCTAGGGCAAGTCCATCCATCCATTTTCGAACCGCTTTATCCAATACAGGCTCATGAGAAGCCAGAGCCCATCCAGCAAGCATAAGGCAAGATACACCCTGGACGGGACATCGGTCCATCACAAGGCACTCACAGACACAGACGAAAAAACACACCATTCACAGCAGGGCCAGCTTTTCCAGAAGCCAAATAACCCCCCCAGTATGATTTTGAACTGTGGGAGGAAACCAGATCACCAAGAGGAAGACCACACAAATACGGGGAGAACATACAAACTCCACGCAGAGAGCACCCCAGGAACTGAGGCAGCAGTGCTGACCATTGCACCACCCTGCCACTCTGGCTGCCCTCAGATTTCATTCATGGTAAAAGACAACCGCAGAAGAACACAACTTACTCGGGGGAAGACTCGGGTGTGAGGCTGGACATCTCCTCTTGTGTTGGAACTGAAAAAACAAAGCAGGTAAAAGAGACAAAGGTCAGAGGTCACTCAACCACAAGGGAGTAGCAATCATGTGCTCACAAAGGAAGGAACATAGGAATAATAGGTCAACACAAACAAACATTTCTTAAAAATGCCAAGCCTGTACAGCGTCTTGATAGTGCAGCTGAATGGCAGACTCCTGTATGTCAAACCAGACCAAAAGTAAAAAATAGTCAAAGTGAGAATATAAAACCCATCCCAGTGTGGACTAACCCATTCAACGATATAAAAAAATGCAAATCCTACTTATAATCTTAATTTTGTACTTATACCATTCAGCCATGAGTAAAATATGTTCTTCTTCATAATTGAGAGGTAGTTCTAAATCCTGTTAGTTGTGAAATGGATATCCATGATTTGATGGCTACTACAGTACAGAATTATGGGGGGAAAAGGAGAACTTTACTGCGACATTTGTCAGTGTAATGCAGTGCTGGCTAATGTAAAATGACAAGTCTGTTTCAGCCGGCCGGGGAGGGGCAGAGGGCAGGGGCTCTTCTGGCTTACTTTCTCATCTCATTATTCCGAATGGAAGTGGTCATTAGCCCCCAGCTGAAAACCTATAAAACCTGAAAAGGCTGGTTTATCCAGGATCCGAGCCAAGGAGCACGACTACACAAGCTAAGAAACAAGCTGAAGATGATTTAAAGTGGGGGCCAGGCCTGGTCGTGGGGACCCCCACAGCTTCTGGTTTTATTGCTTATTAATTGAACCCTCATTTCAACTAACAATATTTAAAAAAAAAAAGCACAGTAGTTTAAAATAGGTCCCAACATGTTTAAGGGCTTACAATTAAAACAATTAAAGAGCTTAAGTTAGTCCTGCTATTAGGCTAATTAAAGTCTCGGCTGTGTAACTGAGAGCTCGGCTGGAAGGCATTAGAGAAATTCTTCACTCAGCCCTCAGTGCCAGTCAGAGGCATCTGGGCTGGGCTGTGACGCGCTGGCAGGAGAGAGGAGAGAGGAGACTGCACTGGAGGGGAGGGGCTGAAGTCCAGCTGCCTAACAGCAGCAGTGGACAAACTGGATTGGACGCCCACTGGGAATACGTCAGAGATACCAGCTGGAGGAATCAGGAAACTGAGTCTTCAGAAGGCCGGAGAATGTTGTTTAGGTAGCTCAAATGTCAAAATCAAATAATAAAATAATGCCCACATTTTTACAAACCTCATACATGGAGAATGTGTGCTTTACATGGTCACCAGAAGGCCTCAATTACATGACTCATATTGCATATTGAGTATTGTTATTCCTTCCATTCCTTTATTTAATTTTTTTTAAATAATTAATAAATAATAGTGGCGACATTAAAAAATTCTCAGCACAGTACCCCATTTAATCCACGCCTTGAATTTCTTGAATAATATTTAATCAAAAGGGATTAAAAGGATTAACTGATGTGTTTGAACATTAAAAACATTAAAAAGTGCAAGTCAAAAATACAATCTAGCCACAGTGTCATTTGACAACTTTATACGAGCCATATCGAGGTCTAAGCTTGTACAGTTGGATGTTTTTGTCTTGTTCTCCATCTTTTTCAATTTCAAATTAAACAACTGCACTAAAGTGTCATAAAATCTGTATCCACACAACCTTAGCTGGGCCTTTGCCTCAGTTTCACAGCTGGAGGGCAGAATTCCTAACCAAAGAAAAGCTGAAAAAACTTTCTAGACAATAACAGAGAAAAAAACTGTAAAACATTCAAGATGTTGCTCCTTAATGGAATGAACTTTCTCATTAAGAAAAAATTCTACAATTGTCAAGTACGACAAAGGAGAAGGAAGGGTCTTTCTGATAAAGATAGATAATACAGTACTGTATTTAGTTAGAAATTACAGAAAACTATTTCCCAACCTGTGGCTGTCACATTGCAAGATTTCTTGAAGACTTCACAGTGCTGCCGCTAACAGGTTACTGCAGAGTGAGCAGGGTTTAACCTTGAGTTTGACGTTAATCTTAATTGCGAACAAGCTACCACCAGGCCTGGGGTATCATTAGCAGCTGACTGTGAACTGTGAGCACAAGGACAGATGGGCTTGAATGCCCTAAGAGTAGAAAAAGGTACCTCCCAGTTCAAGAGTATACCATACCCCATACTCGAAGACATAAACAAAGCAGAGTGTGTAATTGCAGTTTGGACTGGCCAATTCACATTTTGACACTGTGGTTAAAGATAAAATGAGCTCAATTTCCTTAAGGTGTGTGTGTGATAGAAGGATCTCCAAGTCATTGTGTCCTAAAGCAGAGACTTGTCAGGATCAGCAAGACACTGTGCTGAGTTCCACTGGGACAGGGTTCCATGTACAGGTCTTGTGACTTTCAGCTGGTAGGCGGTTTAGACATAATACCTGTGTTGTTTCAGCTAGCCTTGAGGCGTGACCAAGGTCCAAATGACAACCTCTTTGATTTCTGTGGTCTGAACCGAGCCCCATACTATTCGTCCAAAACTTAAAAAGTGGATGTGGGCTTCTGGACAGCTTGTAAGCCCAGGAGTCACCAAAAACAAGGTATATCTATTTTCAAGATCACAACTACATACGCCATGCTTGCTCCGTCGTGCCCGTGCCACTCTTCCTTCAGTGGAAAGGGAAGGAGGGCAGAGCCATAACCCACACCAGGAGCTCCACTGCGCGGTCAGGTCTCCCCAAGGGGAGTGGGCGCGAGTTCAGCTCCCTCCTCCAGCGCTCTCACCTTGCAGTTTTCTGCGGTGGAAGCGTGGCGACCCCAGGAAGCTGTTCTTGATGGAGTTGAGGCGTGTCCTCCAGGGCATGCCGCCGATAGAGGGGCTGGAGGGCGGTGTGGGGTTTGGGGTGCTGGCAGGGCTCTCCTTGGGCGTATGCACCGGCGTTCCCTTGGGGGTAGGGAGTGGGCTCCCCCGAGGGGAGGGGTGAGGGGTCACCTGTATGATGGGGATAGATTTGGTGTTCGGGTCAGTACCGGCACCAGGGTGGTGAAGGTGGTGCAGCCTGACCGGAGACATCGGGGTGACCTGCAGCTGGGGGGGGGGCATAAGGGGTGGGCGGCGCCCCTGGGGGCTGGGGGTGCAAGGAGGGTGCTGCTGGGAGGGCGTGGAGGGTTCTGACGTGGCAGGGGGAGGGTGGCTAATGGTGCCGGGGAGGGGGTTGGATTTGGTGGACTGTAGAGGCTTTTCAGTCAGTTTGGTCTTCGCTGGCAGGGTCTGGGTCTTTGGATTGGGCTGCAGGACACCCGTCTTTGGTTGAAGCGAGTTGGGGGCACGGGCCGCCGTCCGGCTAGATTCAGGGTCTAAGCCAGAAGCGGGGTTGGAACGGGAGGATAAGGAAAGGTCGGGCGTCTGAGGGGGAATAAAAAACCTCCTGACGGGCTACGAGGCGGGCGAAGAGAGCGCATGCACCAGGCCAGACGCACCCACGCAGAGAGAGCGATACGGGGCCACGTGCCAAACGAGACGGGACACAAACCAAAGCAACAAGGTTTTTGGCAAAACAACAACAACCAAAAAAAACAACAACAACAACAACAACGACAACATAAACACACAAACAGACACAAAAGACAATCCACGAGATGGGAACACCAACCAGGAACAGTGGGAGTGCAGAAAGAAAAGAAAAGAAAAACATGCGATTAGCCCACTGAGCAACAAGTCAATAGGCAACAAGACAGTGAAAACCAAAATCCATACCCCGCAACCAAAACAAAGTGTAAAACAACAGCATGAGCAATTCAGGAAGCAAACAACAACAGTGCCATTTTCTGCTTTTTGTTTTGTAAACAAACGTTGCCAGCCAAGCAAGCAATGCAGAAGCAAGAACAACAGATCTCTGTGGATGACGAATCGAGCCAGGCGCATCTGCCAGTCACGTGTGAGGCGTGTCGTTGCGGTATCCCTTTTTACTGTCAGACTTGCTTCCCCAAAGGGCGAAGGCTGAACCTGACTGGATGAACTTCGCCTCCTAAGTCTACTGCGGGAGCTATATGCTTTTTTGATCCCCCTTTGATCTGCTCGTCAATCCAAGCGTGTTGCATGGAGGGACAGGGCTAGTCTATTCCAACACCTTTTACTGAAGGCCAATTTGTGCCACATTTTGTGAAAGGAAAAACAGGACCACTGACAGGATAACAAGAAACCCAGTAATACTGTAGACCAGGGGAGCACAAGTCCAGTCCTTGAGGTCCAGAGGGTTTCTGTGTTTTCTTTCCACCTGAGCCCTTAATTACCTAATTGAACTCATTGTTTGCTAAATTGGACAAGTAGAGCCTTCCTTGCTTTTAAGAAGCTGGAGATTTAGAAAGTCTTGCTGGACAGTGTCTAGTGGGGGCCAGAACTGGACAATTCTGCTGTGGACAAAGTTTTGGGTGTGTGTGAAATGAACAAATCTGGATTTACAGGAATGAAAGCCATGATGTTCCTTTCACAAAATAAACACTCCAATCTGACCAGGTTTCTGTACCACTCAGGCCATGAGAATGTGAGATCCTGTGAATTATTATACTCTGCATTAAACAGGATCCTAATTCAGTTTCTTATTAAGTATGAAGATTTACATACAACTTTGCTTTCTGTAAAACATTTTTTTAATTTGAAAATACTCTCTTAAGTAGTCTTTTCAGATGTTTTAGTACTATGAAGATGTATCCTATTTTTAAAGACAAGCTCAAACTAGCTAAAAGAGATTAGGTTAGCTTTGAATTAAGTTAAAGACATTCTGTGATTCTGAGTCTTTTAAAAAAATGAATAAAGCCATGCTGAAATTTCTTAAAGGCCATGTGTAAACAGGGTGACAGAAACGTGTTCTGTCTATTGAGTTCCTAGGATTTATGATCACATGTTTGTGAGTCTGGGTGTTTAAAATAAAGGGATACAAAGAGTTTTGTAATGAAGTGGAAAGACTCAGAAAAGCAGAAGGCCTCAAGCAGGAGGTAAAGGGAAAGAAGCTTTTAGTGGTTTAAACAGAAAATAAACACGGCTCCAAACAGGCCTGGGGATGTATTTACTGTATTCATTCACTGACCTCCTGGCGTACAGACTCTTGACTAATCGAACAAATCCTTCTGTAACTAAACTGAACTGGGCCTCAGCATTACATTGACATAAAAAGGAATACAGATCAATATTCACTTGTCAAGCCATCGTCAGTGCAATGGGAGCAGGGAGGAGACTCACCCGGGGACTGCTGAGGGGGCTGGTCGAGAGTCCGGAAGAGGCCCCGCTGATGGACCGCGACCTTTAGGAGAGACAAGTTCGGAAAAGAGACACCATCCAGCCTGTTAAAAAGGGCGCAAACCAACAGCTCTCACACAGCTACTCAGGGCCCAAGCTGGGGAGGCAGATTCTTCAGTGAGGCTGCATGATCTAGGAACTGGGCTGCTCCATGCTTTCATTCCCTACACTGGCATGAGGACCTCTTTTAAACTCGACTCAGAGGTTCCCTCAGAAAGTTATTTTTTCAAAGGAATATTTCTTATCTTTCTCTTTGAGCAGTTCAGAAAACAGGGCTACAGTCTTCAGAGTCGTTTCACACTGAAGCAGTAAAGAACTTGGCTGAAGGATGACTCTACTATGAAAGGGCTGTAGTTTTAACTCAAATGGGAATGTGCATTCAGTATGTTTGACAAGATGCGGTAATTATTTATCCTTCTTAATCTTAAAATTAGAATCCAAATTAATATTGTTCAGCTTGAGGCACTAATGGATCTGTGCAATCACTCTTTATCTAAAATGTAACAAAACACGTCATATACAGTATATAACAGCGTGCAAACCCTCAATCAGAGTCTCTCCTTCACATCAAGATGCTTTCACTGTGTCTTTTACTGTATATTTATCTGATCACCAAGTCCTCCAGACATAGAATCCTCTTAAGGCTATGTGTTGATCTTTAATCTTAACCTTCCCTTTACCCTCAGAAGAAAAATGACTGCATTTTATCCTGAGTGCTGTCTTTTATTTCGGCTTTCTGCAGTTTTGGCTTTTAATACTTCTGTCAGTGAACAGACAAGAAAGGATTCCATGCTCGGGACCACAAGCTTTAAATCCAAATACAAAGGGAACTGCCAGGCTGGCCAAGACAGAGGATCTCTGGTTCGAATCAGACTTTAAACTTTCATGCTGGACATCTTTTCATTGCAGAACTAAATATTAGTCACTCAATCTTCCTCATGTTCTGTACCTAGTGTAAAATGACCACTCAATACTGCTTGTAGACAAGGTAGTAAGTCTATGATACTATGGAGCACCTCCTTCGTAAAGTATTTTCCAAATTTTACACTTACTGTATTTTGCAGAAGGAAAACCAAACCTCCACTGTTCCAGAGCGAAAAAGAAAATGTTACAGTGTCGCAATGCTACAGTGTCAGCCTCCATAGATCACTCCTGGAACACTCTGCAACTTGATTAAATTAGGGTTGTCTCACAACAATGGAGGAGTTTTCAAAATTCCTTATCCCTTATTTTTACTTTCATGTGACATACAGGTTTGTATTTGGCTTGTTCAGGGCTCTCGGTGAAAATCCAGCATTGTTTAAAATCCGCATTAACACATTTATTGAACATTATCATCATCCCAGGTTCAGCCTTAATTTAAACCTCCCTTTGCATGGTTCTCACTCCATTACACCGCGCCACACCCCCTCCAGCCCTGTAGGATTCTGGGAACCCTAGACGATGAGTCAAGGTGCTTTGTTGCTTGTGATTTGTGTTCTCAAATAAGGACTGGGGGAAATCATTCACGAATGCAAGATATGAGTAGTGACACAGTGGAAATCCTTGCCACATTCCTGTTGCTGTTTCTAGATTTCACACCGTCTGAAACAAGTGAGCTGGCCATGTTGTCGAAGCTCATACCCAGGCTTCTTCCATAGCAGGCACTGGCAGCCATGTGAGTTAAACAGGCCAGATTTCCTATTTGAATCTCCTCAATTGTATCTTTTCCTACATTCCTTAAGTGGTGACCTGCTGCAGATCTGGGGATGGGTATATTTGTTCAGTGAAGTTAATAGCTCATTTAAAAACATGAATAATGACTCAAGTGCTACAAATATCCTTTGGCTGGTCTTGTAGAGCAGATCAACGCAGTGAGGACTTCACACAGTATTATTTTCAAGGGTACCCACTCTGGCGATAGGAGAGAGCATTCTAAGTAGCCTACTGTATCTTTTATTTGATGACAAACTCTTGTGTCCAACTAAATGGATTCACATTAGTTAATTAAAAACAACTTTGCTTTGAATTAAGAAGGGCTGACCATCAATATATAAATGTGTGATTTAAAAGGTGTCTGTAAATTGAAATAAGTCAGTCAACAAAATGTCGGTCGAAGGAATCTATCCGGAGAATATTCTTCATCCAGCACAGTTTCATACTTCCGACCTGTAAATGGAGTGGTGTGGAAGTGTCTGTCTGGGATTTCTTGAGCTATACTTTGTGAGTACACAAGCTTTTAAAAGTTTTTTTCTCAACCACCCTTCTGTGAATCACGTCTGTATTTTCCACTTGTTTTGCAGTCCTATTCTTTGAATCGCAGAAGTTATAATGCCAAGATGTGTCAAATCAGCACTACCAAGATCCCAGTGAAGCCATTAAAACCTGGGCCAGAGAACACACAGTGGAGAAAACGAGGTCCTGAGCAAAGAAGGTGGGTCTCCCAGGGACACCGGAAGGGAGTCTTGAGGTCTGTTAACTCTCTCTGCGTGTTGCATCCTTCAAATCCACTTCCTCCCTTACCTTGTTCGCCTCACCTCACAGCGCCACACACGCCTTTGTGCTTGATTTACATTTGTTGTTGAGGAGTGCTGGAGTTTCTATTCGCATGGTCGGCTCCCCCAAGTGGTCTTTTGATTAGTATACATTTCTCTAGGGAGGCTCATCTTTGGAGGAAAATGTGTCATTTTTGTTTGTTTTAGGGCACGTCGAATCAGACACATTCATCCCAGTGTGAGGTGAGTGCACTACCTATTTTTTAAAAAAATGCACTGTAGACTTTTGGATATCTTTTGCACTTTGGACTGTAAAACTTTGATGAGGTTAAACAACTTTTCCAGATTGATATCCTCCTGTCCAAGATGCTGATCTCATTAAAAATATCAGTCTTTTCTTTTATGCATGTAGCACACAGGCACTTGACGTCCATAATAAGGTTTTCAGGTTTAATTGCCCATAACTGCACTTGTTTTTGTTAAAAGAAAATGGAACAGTAAATCATAATTAAATTAATTACTCTGCACACTTACAAGGCTCAGTGGCGAGGAAGCTTTGAAACTGGGTGCTTCTCATTTATGGATTTGTCAAATGAGATAAAGGAAATAGTGCAGAAACAAAGAGGAACGTGGAGAGATTACAGTATGTGGTACCAGAGTCTGAGTCGAGAGAGGTTTCTATCTCACTTTGTGCCATTCATTATTGGACAATGAAAGCAGCACATTAACGTTCCTTTGATTTCTGCACTGTACTGTTTCTGCCCTCCAGCAGGTCATACAGTGATTTTAAAATGCATAGGGCAGCATCTATGAGCTTTAAATGATTTTTTTCCCTTAATCTTTTATGTTTCCCCTATCGCAGCATAAAATGCTTGTAACTTGTGCAAAAGAAATTTTCTGCAATGATGAAACTTTCAGTAACTGTTGTACTCTGTTTCAGTAAGCAAAACCTGCAGTTCACAAATGGAAAAGCAACTACAATGAGACGTCCGTTCTCAAAGGTGATCTGGCCTCAGAATGCAATGGTCCCTTACAGTTCAGTGAGGTTGTTTAGCTTAAGCTGTACATGAGTCTCTGTGTAGAACTGGTAAGCCCTTGTAAAAATCGTTCTTCTTATGCTTAATTTTCTTCATTTTCATCTTCAGAGGGAAAACAGCTCACACACTCACACCAGGGCCAGTGTTCCCAGAAGACAATTAACCCACCAGTCTGTCTTTGGACTGGGGGAGGAAACTGGGGGAGAACATACAAACTCCACACAGACAGCACCCCAGGTCGGGAATGGGGTCAGGACCCCAGTGCTGCACAGCTGCCATGCTGGCCACTGCACCTCTCTATGTTTCTGAACCATTTGAAATCACTCAAGAGCTTGTTGATGTTACAATGGCTTAGAATGGACACGCTTTAAAATGCAAAGAAGAGTCTGCTGTTGGGGAAAGAGATTATTCATCATCTTAAGAAAGGCGCTGCAAATCTTTAACCACAAAAGAAAAGTCCTGCACTACAAACAAAGACATTTTTGTATGTACTTTCTCTCAAAAATACTATAGCTGCGAATTCCAACCAGCCCACAAAGCACACCTGCGTGGCCCCGTCTCTCCCGGGAAGGCTGGGACGTTGAGAAGAGGGGAGAGGGGGTTGGGGGGCTTTGATTTGTGGAAAGTGCAGAGGAGAGACAGCACAGAGCCCAGGGAGGACAGGGGCTACTTCTGAAAGAAAGGACCCTGGAAACCCCACAGGCATTCACCAACACAACATGTGCATGTCCTACAGCAGCAAAGCAAACCCGGACGAAGGGCAGGGATACAGAACAGACCAAGATCCATCAATCAAAGCAAACTGGAAGCAGTCGAAAATACAAGACAAGAAAATAAACCACTCCGGAGGGGAGAAAGAGAAAAATAAAAACACACCTCAGCCATCAGACACTATTTGTGCACTGTAGGGTCACTAAGTAAAGATGCAGTACTGCTTTTCAGACAACTTTGGAAAAGGTTATACCCAAAACTGAAACAATCATTATTTTATCATTTATTTCTAACCCTGAGCCTTGGGCAACATGGTGTCTAGTGGATTTCATCCCAGCTGAGCTCTAACTCTCCAGTGCTAATTGATGACTTAATTGATCTGCTTGCTTTAGATTTTTTAATCTATGTTGTTTCTTTTGTCAGTCCTTGGTGTTACTGTAAATATACCCTACTTTCAGGTTACGGTTTCCAGCAATCTTCGTGTACAGAACTTTACATGACCTCACATTAACTTATTTGCTGGTAGTTTTGATTGAACAGCTCTTACTAGTTGATCAGTTGTTGATGGACACAGTGCCCACAATGGGAGTGGCACTATATCAGACACGCCCACAACAGGAGCGGCACTATATCAGCCAGGCCCACAATGGGAGTGGCATTATATCAGACACGCCCACAATGGGAGCGGCACTATATCGGACACGCCTACAATGGGAGTGGCATTATATCAGACACGCCCACAATGGGAGCGGCACTATATCAGGCACGCCTACAATGGGAGTGACACTATAGCAGACATGCCCACACTAGGAGTGTCTCTGCATCAGACACACCTACTGCAGAGATGCAATTGGTTTTACATTTCAGGCAGCATATTTGAGGACAGTTCTGATGTCCAGAGTTTATACCGATTTCAAAGCTAATTTGATGTTTTACAACCTGGAAGCAAATATACAAACATGCCCCAAATAGAAAACTGAAACCACTTAAAATGTGATTGAAGAACTCAGCTGGATCAAAACCAAGAGGAGACACTGGCCCACTGGGATCATGGTTGGGAACCACTATTCTAAATACAGTAGAGATTTGTTCACGAAAACATCAAGGAGAAAGCTCTAGTACAATATTTAATTCAACAATGCTCTTACAATTTAATTTAACAATTGACACTGTCAATGCTCATCCTTAAATGGAGATTTAAATGGAGAGACATGTGATTTGCTTTCCTGTGTGCTCTCACAAAATCATACCTTGCTTTTTTTACATTTCCTGCTGTAACAGCAGCGAGTACTGAAGGCAAAGTAACAACAAAACAACAACTGAGCAAAAGCCTGAAGCTGTGAAGAAACACTAAAATAAATAAAGTAAAATGTACCTTAATTTTTATTTTTTGTTTTATTTTTCAGCTCAGTGATGGTCATAATCTGGATTTATTTTATTGTGTGAAATTAATTAGACATACCAGAGGGATAGAAAGGCCTCCAAGTCTGAATTCCACTTCGTTTAAGTACAAATATCTTAAAAATATGAGAGAGAGCGCTGACAAAAAGGTCTATATATTAATCTACATATTTAATTTATGTATAGGTTATAGATTAAAAACTATAAGCCTGTGATTCTGAAGAAAAAACTTTAGAAGAAAAACATTCTAATAATTACTTCCATAGGAGGTTTATATTTATGGTGTTTAAAGTGAGTGGCCTCAGACAAAGAGCTCTGACTTCTTTATTTTTATAAATTTAGAATCGGCAATTGATTTTGTTGCAGTGACCAGATCTCAAATAGCCACCAGTGTGTTTTTCATTCAGGGCTGCAGGGGAACTGGAGCCTATCCCAGCAAGCAATGGGTGCAGGGCAGGATACACCCTGGACAAGACACTAGTCCATCAAAGCACACACAGACATACCTACTGTATACAAGCTCCACACAGATAACACCCCAGGTCAGGAACTGAACCTGGGCTCCAACACTGCTAGGCAACAATACTCACCACTGTGCTGCACTGAGTGTTTGATAAGTTCAGTGCTCGTGGTGGACTTCATGCCAGAATAGATGGAAATCTAATTATGTGATTTACAAGGGGTGAAAAACTGGGCTCAGTGTTGGAAAAAAGGAGAGACTGAGCTCAGAACTGCTTCTGCTTAACATTACTGTACTGTAGAAATCTGACTCTGGCCTGGGGTGGTTACTCCTGACCTGGCTTGAGTACATTTTTAAATTAAATTTACTGAAATTAAATTTAAATATGATATGTTAAATGTTCACAGTCAAGAGTACTCTTTTTATGCCAACAACTAAAGTGATAAGGAAAGCTTATTTGAAGTTTTATTGGCGAGCTCCACAGTAATTTAAAAGTCTCTTTTAGTCAAGATAGCTCGGTTACACATCTTCAGTGTCAACGTCAATGCTACTGTAATGTCATTTTTCGTAGAAGGCAAATCCCGTTAAGCTGAAGTCGTCATTCTGTCCACAGTGGAAGTAAGGAAGTTCTTGTCTTCTGTTGTCTGAAGACAGAAGCTGAAATGTGTGACACTTCTTAGATCAGTGCTGGGTCTTACAGGTCCAGCCTGATTCATACGTCACCCAGTCAGCAATCTGAAATGACCTGGAACAACTTCATTTTGAGAAATTAAGCAGATGGTAGTTCAGACATCTAAAATTAAAATACCAGTAAAATATCCTGTAATTTGTCCATACCTGACTTAACCGAACCAATTATTTACCTAAATGGATCAAAACGGCTGTTCTTTAAGGGTGATCTCACCAGCACCAGGGTTATCTAGCAGTGTCCTAGATCACTCGAATCTGTGGGACACAGTAGCCTGCAGTGCTATTCGCTCATTTCTTTCAGCTACAGTGGGTAACATTAAATTTTGTACCAGAGCATTTCTCCTGGGAAGAAATAAACAAGAAATAAAAAGGGATATCCAAACATTATTTTTCTAAGACGAGAATAAAAGGTTTAAGAATAAAAAATGTTCAGAAAAGCCACGCTGCATCTTTAATCTAAGAGTTGTAAGGGAGAGGACATAAACAGTGAATACCTTTCTTCTTTGTTGAATTTGGGATTGGCATCAGAGATATCCAAGCTTTTACTGAACACGGCCTTACTACAGCGGGAAAACAAAGTGAACAGAGAGAGTCAGTTACTAGCTGTGCTGGTCCAGTGATTCCGCTACTGTAAGATCACGCTCCCCTCTCTTCCTGGAGCTGTGGAACTGGCCTCACCTCGTATCAGCAGCTCAGCTCAGTCTCCTAGGGGCTGCACACGTTTACTTCAGATCTCCCTGGCCTTCCTATTTGGGATTACTTAACATACAACTCCCAACCTTCTAGACTGTTGTCTTTGATAGGTGTTTTGCCTACAGTATTTTACAAATCAGACTGATTATTATATACTTTAATTATTACGAAAAGTTAAGGGCACTGATTTAAGGTCACTGGCTGCCATGGCTTGTAGTTCAGAGCTCCCGATGCAGTCAGATCCATCTCAGGATTTCATCTGAGTATCTCAAGTCTTGTAAATAAAGCTTACATTAAATGTAAATAAAGCTTTGACGATTACAAATTTGCCACAAATCTGCAAGCTCTGGTGTTTCAGCATTTCCTCTCACAAATAGTTTCCAAGAACACAACACATATTCTTCATTTGACATATGACAGCCCTGACAATCTGAGGGGACACAATGTGGGTTTTAACTGGGAACCCCTTCACAATGATGTGCTGAGTCTCCATTCATTTGCGATGAATTAAAACTTTAGAAATGGACCAGACACCTATCAAAGGGCAGCTGTGTGACAATCCCATGACAGAAAAAAAACTTTAACCCTGTCTGTCCCAATTTCCAGAAAAAAGGAATCCACACTGGTGTGAGAAAACAGATAAATAGTTTGAAAATATGAACTGTAGGGAAACATAAACAGACTAAATTGGTCTGTCAGGCACACAACTTGTTTCCAGCATGAGTTATGTCCTGGGTTCATCTGCTGTCACTCTGTTTTCACTCCAATAAATTATGTTGTAATATCAGGCCATTTTAACATCACTGAAAACGTAGAACTTTATACTGTTATCAGAGCCCACATATGACAAAAAACATGGTAAATGCTTAAGAATAATATTCCAGCGGGCCGATGACAACCCAGTCCCTGACTTTAGGAAATTGAGTGAGAAAACTGGGTTTTCATTTATGGGAATCTCACTACAGCTCCTGTGGGCCAGACTGGAGGGGGACACCAGTATTTCTGTTCGTGGGTTTGAGGTGCGGCTGAAGAATCAGCAGTGCGATGCAGGGAGCTTGTCTGTCCCTGACAGATGTGAAAATTGGGTTGCTTCGCTCATGGGATCTTAAAATAACCTCAACTAGGAAGTGGGTCAAATGCAGCACAGAGCTGATTTTGCCATTGAACTACTGTTTGTAATTTTACAGTGATACCAAAAACAACTTTCCTCAAAGTAAAAACACAAAAATACATTCGTTCTATCTACATCATTTTGTGGTAGTGAAACTGAAGCCTTTTAGATTAAAACAACCTTCTTGATCAGGTTATAAAAATGTATCACTGTTGTGGGAACATTTGCGTGTACAAACCCAGTTAGTACAGAACAGTCCTTGATCACAGCCTGACGCCGAACAGGAGAGCAGGCAGGTATATTAGTTTCCTCCACCACATTAAGGATTGTTTTTATATGTTTTAGGTAACTTAGAGAGGACTTGTTTTCTCAATCCTTCCTCCATATAAATGTTAAGAGTTGTCTGGGCTGGAAGAAATAAGCATTACAGTGAAATTAAAATTCAGTAATTCTGCCTACTGTGGTAAATGCAGAAAGAGTGTCAAACCCCCTGCTGGCAGTGCACTGCAGTCCAGGTTTAGTATGATCCTATAAAAAATACTTGGCTTCCCTGGCATTGTGCTTTAATCTGGGCTGCTGATAGAGGCAGAGGGCATGTGTTAGGGAATTAAAATCAAAGCAGACCTTAAATCAGCCCTCCGTGGTCTCCTGATTCTGAGCATAAATCAGTTTTATGGTGAGTGCAGGCTGTTCCAGGGAGCCCCGCCTTCCTCTGGCTGGTGTGCTCGCCAGGGGAGGCGTCAGCTGGTGCTCTGCTCTGCCACCGAGTTGGGGAGGCGGGCCCTGTGCTTTGTGCTCTCATGCAAGACGCCCCTGAAGGAGGGGGGGCGGTGGTGGTGGTGGGCGGGGGGGCCATACCTTTGCCCGTGTTGTGCCATCTCAATGGCCCGCCGTGCCGGCACAGGGGACCCACCATCGGTGACGCTCAGCACCTCCATGGACTTGCGCTCCGGCCTTCGCTTGCCGTGTCTGTTCAACATGGGTGAGTCCACGCGCTTCCTCGGGGGGTCTGCACGGACAGCGGGAGAGACCACAGGCTTGTGAGAGGGGGACGTGCTGGCGTGGGCACTGGGAGTGACCGGTCCTTTCTCACCACCGTCTACACTGGTGGCTAAGCGAAGCTGGCGCTGGTCAGAGCTGTGAAGGGAGACTGCCGAGGAAAGCCAGGCTACTGCTGCATGTGCTGCTGGTAGACCAGTAGGTGACACTCTTTACTCCAGACCAGAATAACCAAAGCACTGCCCCAGCATGGTGATGGGAAAAGCTGTTCTATAGCAGGTGCTAGTCTCCGGCTAAGACCTTGAGGTGCTCACTGTAATTAAAGATCCAGGAGATAGATATGCAACAGCTGGGGTATTAACCTGTGTCTTGGCTTAATTCCTCTTCCACTTGCTCTATTTGGCCTACCAAAATGTATCCCTTAATTTAATCTGTGAAGTGAATTTCACGCCTCTCAGCCTGATTTGCTATGCACTGGAGCTGCTGGTGCAGAAAAGGCTATGGCTCATCACCAGGGTGGGTGTTTTACGGTGCTTCCTGCACTGACCTCAATGCAATTATTTTAATACTTACAGAAGGAGAGTTTTAGAGGCATATGGTCGATGTAGACTCAAGACAGTTAAGAAAAGACTGCAGATGTATTTGAACCCACTTCAATTAAAAACATGATTGCTCAAACTGTGCTGGACTCTTCAGTGGTATACCTGCTTACAGTGCCCTGTGGCCACCTGAGTTTGTAACGTGCTGTAAAATTGTGCTGTGAAGTTAATGCCAGGGCTGCCTTTCTCTTACCTATTTCATTGCGAGGTGGAAGGTTCTCGTCCTCATGACTCGGGTACCTTTCCTTCCGGTCGAGGAGAAGGAAATAGATCATTTTCTCCTGGTTGTCTCTGAAACGAAGACGCAAGAAGATTGCCATCAGCAAAAGGAAAGCACAGGGCTGTTCTCCCAAGAACATCTTCCGCTCACTGTTCTCTCCTGAACTGACCCAACCCCTGACAGACATCTGCAACCTACAGCCAGAGCCTTCAAGCCTAGGTTCTCCATGTTTCCATTGTCTAAGAACTAGTGTATAAAAAAGAAATGAACTGCCTCCTTTCAAAGCATCAATCACCATCACTTATGATGAAGCCTGAAAAACAGCAGCTCCTCGGTGTGGCATCCTGCTGTGGAGCAGAAAGTGATTAGAAAAAGTGTGATTTGAAACAGTGCAAGCAAATCTGCATCATCAGCTGAAAAAAGCATAAAAAAAGAGATTCCCCTAGCCTAACTGTGCTTAATGCTCCAAGCGAGGCAAGAACACAGCAGAAGATGCTTTCCCCAAGTTCAGGCGCTTTAAGGAAGAAACTACAGCCCATTAATCAAGTACAGTAACGAGCGCCACAGATAAGCTTGCTGATGGTAATTGCACTATTTTTGAGATGATGAATGGGCTCCTCTGCTCGACCGTGTCTGCTATGGAATCCTCAGGCAGCTCCACAGCGCTAGTCAGTGGAAACTGACTGAAGGGGCTGAAAACACAAGAGCACAGAGCCCTTCCGCTCTCTGCAAGCTGTGTCCGTTTACTCACAGCAAGCACGGCAGTGGTGCCACACGCTCATGTCTCTCCAGCAGGCATCAAGACAGAAATGGACTGGAAAACAGCTTCTTGAACAACTATCCTTGGAAGTTATGAATTAGTTGATTATGCCGTAAACCCTCCAGAATAATGGACTTTGGATTTTGGATGAAATCAAGAATACCCCAGGAAAGCAGGAGTGTAATGTTCTCATTCTGAGTCTTGCTAAAATATTTGTTCCCCAACAAGTTAACACGTGAAACTGTAATAGCTGAAGATGTTTTTAATATTTAAAACCAGAACCTTAACTCCATCCTTAGGGTTTAATTGCTAAACATATCACCAAATGAAAGTGACACAAGTCCAGAGACGCAGAGATCTGACGGCATTCTGGGATTCAGCTGTACATAAAGTATGAAGCAACTTACGTCAGCAGTGAACTCCCACAGACCTCAAGCCTGGCACTCGCTTTGCACTGTCTCCCCCTCCTCCCACTAGCCCAGCCGGGACACACACTCACTCTTCAGACAGCAGGTCCTTCATCAGCTTGTTCTTGTCGCGAAAGCAGCCCAGCGAGTGCATGCTCTCCAGCACGTCTGGGTCGATGTCGTCGGCCGAGGGCAGAGAGCGGATGGCCACCTTGCGGGGAATGGGCTGCTCCGGCTCTGGCTCATTCTTGCCTCCTCTGATAGGAACAAACAGCAATGCCAGGTACAGAGCCAGCTACCCTGGGCAAAAGCTCCACCAAAAGCTTTCATTTAATACTTCTGAACACCTGGGACCATTCTACATTTTCTCTTTGGAGTCTTTGGAGAGAGAGAGACGCCTGCTGAAAGTGACATTTTCGGGAATAACTGAGGGACGGGGATACCCTGATCAGAAATAACCATTGTGCAATAGTTTGTATGGTTTCTGTTTGAGTTTTAACTCTTCACTAACACCATTCATTAAGGATTCAGATACTTTGGCTGTTCTGCAAGATCTCTCTCTTTTTAGGCGATCTGCAGAATCAATAAAACTAGCACTTGTGTTTACAACGTACAGTGGAAATCAAGAATATACAAATGTTTCACCTGACTAAACATTTTTGTTCAGTCAATTTCTCAACTCACATGCCCTTAAACCAATTTAAAGTAACATTTTTAATTCAGCAACAAAATAAATTCTTCTTTTAAGAAGGAAAAAGAAAAGCAACTTCCATGTTTTCATTTTCTCTAAAGCAATTAAATCTGGAGCACACTGAATGAGTCTGACAGTGAACAGCACACTGAAGCCTCTATGGGGAAAGCCTATTTTCTATTGAATATGCAGCGACTGCTTCTGAAGGACATCCATTCATAGCAGCATCAGAGTGTGGCCAGAGCTCTACTCAGACTACAAAACCTTCTACAAACCAATCAATTCAGAGCAGCAGTGGGAATACACTTTGTGCGTCGATGGCTTTTTCCATCCCATTCCTAGACGCTTCTTCCAGTGAGGGAGACAGAGCTCTTTCCCGGAAAGCAACAGGACCAAGGCTTACGGGCATAATGCACTATGGAGTCTATGTCTCTGAAGGCCGAGCACTCAGAGGAAACCCATGCAAACACTCAGAGAATGTCCAGACTCCACACAGACAGCATCCCAGGTCCAGAACTGAATCCAGGGCCCCAGTGCTGTGAGGCAGCAATGCTAACCAGTGCACCACTGTGTCACTCAAAATGGCTTTTTTTCTTAACAAATCAAAACTAATCTCACATCTTTGCTGAAATGCATATTGAGTTCTTGCATCCTCTACAATTTATTTATAAAAAATAGATATATACATAAATCTTAAAAAAACATAAATACTTTTGGAACTGGTGAAATTCTACTATACCAATGAGCAATGGTGGTAGTCATTTGTCCAAAATGACTCATAGCTAAACTCAATCTCAAGGTGGGGGATTGAATACTTACAAAATAGAATCAACATACTTCAGGTTTTTGATTATGCGTTGCAGTTTCTGGTGACATTTAAATTCTTTCACCTACAAATGTGTTCATTTTGAGCATTCCAGACTTGATTAAAGTATAGAAAATGAGGACACAATTCATAACCACAAGACATTTTCATAACCACAAGTACAGTTACATGTCACAATCCCCTGCCAATCGCAGTACAGGAATTTGGACACCCACTTCCATCTTGGCCAATCCTGGAGCAGGGCAGAGTCTAAAGATAACATAAATCACAAATGAAGGACACTGAGGATTTCAAACGCTTGTCTGAATGACATTTCTATGTCTTGGCAATTTTGTTGGCTTCAAATGGACAGTTTGGAGAAGTAATGTGCACCAACACAAACGTAATACTTCCATACTAAACCCTGAGAGTTAAAATGCAATGTGGTAGACTGGAGGAATGGTGTAAAGATGATTCTCTGTGTACGGCTTTGTTATTCTACCCATGGAAATTCACAAGACAAGTTTTATTCTGCTTATGCAAAGGTTCGGAAAATTAGCTGGAGTGCGGGAAAAGAAATCAACCCTTTGCAATGGAACACACCGAGATGAAACCGAGATGATTTTTTTTTACGCTGCTTTCCTCTTCATGTTCAGTGTTAAGTTCTGTTTAGCCTGTTTAACAGCTATTCAAATGAGGACTGACCCCCGATGACACTGTCGATGTCTAAATCCTTTAATTTAGTGTTATAAATTAAAATAAATGTAAGCCACCATCACATCTAATGAATCCACACAGATCTGAGTCATACTGGACACGTTCAATTCCTTGGGGTTTCCTCAATTTTTTTGTGCCTGGCGTTTTTATTAAATAAAGTAGATTTCTTCTGTCACTTGTGGAATAAGCAGTCACGGAATAAATTAATTCTACTCTCATCCAATAGTCACTGCTGAGAGAAAGATTTAGTGCACACTCTAATTATGCCACTTCATGCATTTCTAAAACCTTCATTTCTTTTAAAAGAGAAAAACAATGCAATCTCATTCTAGAGCTTTATATTTATGCACGTCTTGCATATTACAGCATACAATGCTTCCCTACACCACAGACAGGGAAGACCAAATTCTATCATTATCTCGAGTAAACCCTTGAGCTAATAACCCAGCTTGCATTTGTCCTGTCATGGAAGGATATTCCTGTACTTGTCATTGAAGTCTTGTATTTCACTAAATTACACATTTGCTCAATGGGAAATAAAAATAGCTTTTAGCAAGTTCACTAAATGTAAAGTACTTCAAGAAGGTTAGGGAAGAATCACATCTCATTTCATCGGCCCGCCAAGAGACACTTAAACAACAAGTCACCTCCTGCCTGCTGTAGCCCTGAATACAAGGCTCTCACCTCTTGGGTCTTCTGCTTTCTAGCACATCACTATAGGCTTAGAGAGGGAAAATTGGTCTTGTTAGTTCTTTTACCTTCCCTGTTAGGAGCACGTGAATATTAAGTCCAGACCTTGCCAAGTAAAAATGTCACCCTGTCTTCACGCTTCTTCATAGTAAGCAGTAGCTGCTAGTTTAGGCTGCCTGCAAGGGCGCACATGTTAACATCACCTGTGGGCACTCAGGCACAGAAACTGCTATAAAAGCTCACAGATATTCCATTAGTTATAGGAACTATGATTCCCTTAAACCTACTGGGTGACTTCCTGATGGCATCTGCACCGAGTTCATAAGGTGCCTGACCGTGGCAAAGTCAAGCGGGTCCCACCCAGTGCTGGGAGCTTAGCTGGAGCAGTTTTGAACTGGTGACCACAAAACTGCATCACTCAATGAAAGACAGCACATGGTGTTGCAGGTGACAGATTCTGTATCCTATTTCCCAGCTACTGAAGGAGTAGGGGAACAATGCAGGAAGCTGTGATATATCGTTTCCTATAGGTTGGCGCATTCTAGCAGTTTAGAGTACAGAGCACTGTGATCTAGTAGGTCACAGCAAGGAGCAATTGAAGTTGTAAATCCGTATTTCTTGCTTGAACACCTTATTCTAGTCTGTATCCCAGAGATCGTGTGGGCGAGCCATCTGGTGTGAAGGTGAGCTGCTTTTGGGTGAGCCCTCTCCCCAGAGAGGCTCCAGCAGAACTCGCAGAAAGAGGAGGCACAGGAAGGCAGTGAGCTATTATTTTGGGTCCTTCACCCAGAAATTCTGAGAACCCACGTTTTCCGAACTGAGGACGAATTTCCCACTGGAGTTCCGAGTTCACTGTCCTTGGTGCTGAACTGAGAAACGAGGCCTACTGCCATTCATCAGCGTGTCAGCCTGTGGCAAGAACTAAACTAAAAAACGCCCCTCTCCAACTCAAAACGAACAGCCACGCTCTGCACAGCCCCATCCCATAAATCATCTCTTCTCTGCTGACCCAAGCACTGAGTACAGAGGAGCACTGCCTGCACAGACACACTGCTACAGGAAGAACACACAAATAAAGGGGAGATATACTCACATGTACCACGTGTGCTTCTGAATTTGTTCTAGCTGTGAAGGCAGAAAAAAAATAAGTTTACGTTAGATGATTTGAAGCATCAAGATGGTAGGAATAGCTTCCTAAGTAAGATTATAACATATTGAGCCACAGTCAACAAGATGGATTTGGCAGAATTTCTGAATCCACAAGCTAAACCACTATTTGTCTATTTGTCTTCAGTGAAGTAACATCTGATGAGAGAACCAGCTCCAAATCCAAAGCCATATACATATTCATTACTGGAATTACAGCCAGAGCACACTGGAAACAGCACAAAGGAAAACAAATGACAGGAACATGAGAAAGAAAGTGGCCATGGGTTTCTGAACACAACCACACTCTACAAACACACCCACAGCCAAACAAAACCAATCATCCAATGGCACACAGTTCAGGATTTCTTCCCTATCATATCAAACACATTCCCAGTTCACTGCCAGTGCCATTGTTGGAGTTTACATGATTGGATTCAGTTTCCACAGTGTTGGCCAGGTATGATGAAACAGTTGTCAACACTGGCCAACTCAAGACACAGCAAGAGAAAATAAGAAGATAAGAAAAGTTACAAACAAGAGAAGAAGTCCATTGGTCCCATCCTGCTTGTTCCTTTGTGAGTGGCTTATCTAAAGATCTAAAGAGCTCACCCAGCCAATTCTTCCAGGCTGTCAGGCTTATCAGCTTCATGGCTGGGTTACAGACTCCCACAGCCCTTTGCATAAAAAAATGTCTCCCTTTCTCAGCACGCAATGTGCTTTAGTTCCACAGCAGCTCCCCCTGTGTCTTCTGGCTCATGTTTCACTATTGATTGTGAGAAGCCCACTGGTTTGACTTTGTCAAATTGTCCATGCCTTTAAACAAATCAGACTATAGCTATTGTATTATTTTGAAAAAATCCTCAAAATGGATAATTCCCGTTCTCTGCACAGAGAGAACCTGTTAAAAACACTGTTCAGGAAAGCCTATAATCAGACAAGCAAAATAGCCAAGTACAAGCTTTAGACTGTCAGGAAGGAAACTAGGAAAAACATCTGGGACTAGAGTGATTGGAGTGGGAATATCTATTAGCCCAGTTACTCCAGAAGTTTACCAAAGATGCTCTGACAGTCTTTAAATTTTGACAGATTGTTCACATATGCCTGCTGAACACTGGCTTTTGTACACATGTGCAGTTTTCACAAACAAGCAAAGAAGGCTGGAACAGAAGAGCTAAAGTGGACCTTGCAGCCGGTGTAATATCTTCACATCCATGGTGTCTGTATACAGTTTAAAATCTTATTACGCTCATTACATTACACTTCCAGCTTACAAGGGCCTTGCATGGCATATCATTAACCTGGCTGCTATTTTCTATGCCAATTTCATATATGGATTGTAAGATTCCCTGGATGATGATGATTATTATAAAAATCCTTCCTGCAAAAATACTTTGCCCTCACATCCACTGATCACAATGCAGTTTCCATTGATCAATGCAGCTTCCATATCAGGGGGTTTGACTTTTTCTTTGTCCCTCTTTCTCAATAGAGTGATTTATGACAGATGTAAAATGAAAAGAAAGACTCTTAAACTCACAGTGGCCATTAAGTTCGTTCTGGGATCACTTCCAAAAAGCAACTTTTCAGTTATATATCAAGTTTAAGACTCCACCCTCATTAAATGCATATAACAGTCCTCATCAACAGATGAATGAGGCACCGCACACTCCCTAAAGCAAAGCGCACAGCCACTGATCATTAACTGGTCTCTGAGTGTCCTACTAGCCACATCCTTTATTCTTCAGATTAGAAGAATGGCAAGAACTTTCCACACATCTTTTACATTCAGCATTGACTGAAATCTGCAAGAACAGACTTCAGTCTCTCAAGGAACTGGGCGTTTGAAGATCACAATGTCATAACTTAAACGAAACTGACTGTAAACTGTTTACAGTGCAGCCCATCATTCCTGTGTACCATACAAGACTGAAGCATAGACAACATACAGGAGACCTTCACCACTTCACCAATGCTGTCTGCAAAGAATTACACAGGTGATGCAGGGAGACAGATGCATCAACACCGGTGTTCTCTCCACAGGCACATCTCATAAGATCACCACCATCGTTACCACTGGGTTTGTCACTTCATTCAGTCTCCTCAGACTTCGGGGTCCCATAGAAAAGTTCTCTTCTCCAAGTGCAGCCAAAGCAAACACACCAGAGGAGGTCAGAAGTCATTCAAAGATATTGTAAAGGCAAGCATGAAGAAGTGCAACATCAGGATCAACTCCTGGGAGATTATGGTCCTTGACGTGCCGCTGAAGGGATGGGTGAAGGAATATTGGGGAAAGAGCCCAGCATTTTGAATGCAAAATGTCAAGATGTCAGATCAAGGAAGCAAAAGCAGTGCCAAAGAGAGCTTAGTACCCCTGGGACATGATCGGACTGTGCAGAGCACATCCTTATAACGTCCAACACGACACCTGCTCAACCTACCAGAGAACATATGCATCCTGGCACTGGCCTTATGAGTCACCTGAGGGTTCATGGATGACAATCATCCTTGTCTATAGGGGACAATGACACCAGCCTCAGGTTCTGATGCATCTTTATTGGAACATGATGGACAAAATGACTCACATTTTTCTTTCCTGTGATGTAGAATGGCCATTAAGACATGACCTTCAAGGAAGGCTTGCTTGATTTCACAAAAGGTTAGAAAAACTGCAGAATTCCTCCAGCCATTGTTAGGTCATCAATCCACCGAACGGTAATCCTTTTGAATGCTTTCTAGTCCTTCACGAAAACATAAAAATGTGTCAATAAAAGCTGATAGAAATGTTCTCTTTGTTTATAACTGTCACTGTTCATTGATGGCATCTGTGAAAGAACAATCTTTAGTTTTCCACCATCAGCAAAGCCTTAATACTGTGTGTCAATATGACTGACTGGAGGGGAGGATGATGCTGTGATGGACTGTGAATAGAGCTCCTGATACGGTATTATAGAGCTGTTCCTTACAACCATCTTACAGCACTCAAGGACAATGAAAGAGCCCAGTCCAGCCTTCAATAATCATCATAAATCATCTTGTCATCGGAAGGCAATCAAGCTCAGCATACCGCCCATCTGGAAGGATCCATACTTTAGTCGTTTCACACAGCAGGCATGGCGCTGAGAAAACCAAACTACTGAAAGGTTAAAACTGAGATTCAATGAGCTGTAGTGCACAGGCAAGGATTAAATATTTTTACACTCTTGACTGCAATTTTCTTCCTCTTTCAAAGAGACAATAGCCAACAAAAGGAGTCAAAATGAAATGTTTTCTTGTCTGCTCACAGACAGCTGCAGATAGCCTGGCCATTGAGAAGAGAGGATGAGCAGGTTAACTGAGGATCAATGAAGTGGGAGGATTCTCCAGAGGATGGGGGAGTTCCAGCTTTTCTTGAATGTTTTTATACTGGGCAACAAGAGACAATTGCCACTCTATATACATATCCAGAACAATCAAGTATACAGGTTTTGCCTACTGATGGCCTGCAGCGCCATTTTACACTCAAGTGACTTTGACTTTTACTAACTAAATCATCTCATTAGTGAAGAAGCTGACCAAGTACACTTCACAAAAAAACCTGCTGAGTGTCAAGCCATGTGAAAATCAAGAGCAAAAGGCCCAATCTGAATAGAAATAGTGACATTTGAAAAATGACCCAGTGCAATCAATGCACTGATTGCTCTGGGTGGGGGGGGTTGAAGTGTGTTGGCCTGCACAGGAGTGTCTAGGGCCTACAGAGCTCTACCTGTACTGAGTGGAGGTAACTGCACTGCTGGGTGGAATATCTTCCAAGTCCTGGGGCCTGTCTGGACTCCAAAACAACGCATGTTCTTGTACTGCAGGGGTAAGAACGGCGTCTATCCAAGATGAGAATGAGACACCTTCCTGTTCTCCATATATGACAACATGGTATATCTGTGGGCATCCAGGGCTCAGGGACCAGTGAAGACACATGCTTGTTCAGACTGTTCAAAATGAGTGGGACAGAATCTGCATCTGCATCTGTACACGCATGCAGGATCAAGCACAGCTTGTACTGCTTCCAATGGTGGTCACTCACACCAGCAGCCTGTAACCCTCATAGTGGACTCAAGGGACAATGGTAGACTCTTTGTTTATCAGTGCTGTTGATAACTGAATCTGCATCAGAAATGTACCTTTGCCATGTCTGATCAATTAATAGGCAGTGCACCTGGTACAAAATGAAATCTTTAATTCTCTGGTTTTCAAGATAATAAGCTTGTGAATTTTCTGCAGTGATGTCTACTCACTATATTTTCCTCAGTACATGTTTCTCTGATGAGTTCAGATGAGATGAGCTAAAAATGACCTATTATTATGTTTCCAAACAGCTCAGCTTTGTCTTTTGGGGCTTCACGTAAACAATTCAATTGACTATGAATGAAATTGCATTTCTTTTTCACCATCAGCCATTGGTGGATGAATCTGTAAAAAAGGTTCTTTCATGCGTGACATTTTTTAGTCTAAATCAGAAGCTCAGTTACCAAAAAGAAAAGATTTGCATTTGTCCAAGGTCAACTGAACATGTTTGTGCAGAGACCCCAAAAAGACCTGAAGCTTCAGAAGACAACTGCAGCTCCCCGCCAACTTGTATTTATCCAAACTCGTTACTGCAATATCAGCTGAAGGGAAAGTTTATGAATAAGAAAACAAAACTCAATCAGAAACTGCAGGTCTAAAGGTGTTCGATCAATGTGTAATAATGCTCTGTCTTCATAAAGCCACACTGCAGGTCTCAAATAACGGTCATCTCAGTGTAGTCTGCAGAGTAAGAAAAGACATCTTCCTCTAGTACAGGAAGGAGAGACATTAATCCTAGATGCTACATCCTAAAATGTCTGCAAGAAGGAACCACAGCTGTGGGCTATGAACTGTGGGTCTTGCACAATACAGCAGACTGTACACCTGGCGTGACGGGACAGGTACAAAACTACAGTGCAGGCAGCAGTGACAGGACTGATTTTGAGACATTCAAATTTCTACTGTTCTTTTGCAGCACTCCTGTGTAAGAAGGGTGTGTGAGCTCTGTGAAGATGCTCCTTACTGTGAGAGGGTGCATGGGAAGTAAGAGCACTTTCTTAACACATGTTACTCATACACACGTGGTTCACATGTTTCTGCCAGCCCTTTCCATTTCAATACAACTTCAAAGTGAATTGCTTAAGACAGCTGGTAACTCCATACAGCTGGACCAGGGGTGATGAATTTCCCTTTGTTTACTAGGAATCCACTCCAGAGATCCCCAGGTTGAAAGTCTTTACTCCTTGAATCCTGTAGACACAGTATTACAGGACGTGACAGAATTGTGCGATGTGTGATGGCGCTGGTCTGAAAATACATTTTTATATGTCATCTCTAAAGATGTACGCCTGATTAGTGAATCAAATTAACACCTCAGTGATGCTCAGGCAAATCTCCTGCTTTTACCACGGTCCTATTAGCACTCAGAAATGAGTGTGCAGACTCCAAGAGTGAGTCTGGGCACATACACCAGAGAGGGAACCCTGCACAGGTTACCAGCAGCCAACTCCCAGAGTAAAGACATCATCATCTCCGAGGAAGAATTTGTTGTTCATTTAAAAGCGTCTCTCTGGGTAAAAAGGTGTTACCTACAATTGTATGTGAAATGCTTGACCAAAAGCCAAAATACCCACAAAAAATAATATACTGTATGCTTCATTTTAACTAACTTTTTAGCCTCCTACAAAAGGGAAGCCCCAGTCAACAAAGGTTTGGTCTGGCAGGCAGG